AATTGCACACAATACAAACAAAAATTGTGAAAAAATGAGTGTGAAAAAAACACAAGCATAGAATACTTTACGAATATCCAATCCTTATGCCCCGGATGGGGCATAATGCCCACAGCAATGACCAATGCTATGTATGGAATGAAGCCATTCATGGCCCATAGAGCCCATGCATTCTAGCAAATTGTTAATGTTGCAAACCAAATGGACAATTGACTAAATTGCATACCATACTACCCTATCTAGAGCATTATGTTCTCACATCTTGCTTTTGGCACTCATGGCAAAAGAACTAAATTATCCTTTTTTGGCACACCTCTTTTAACATAGTGTTCACAGCAAGCGTAAGTGAACTCCATCTAGGCTAAGGATCTGGAAGATGGAGTTTTCAATCTTTCCAAGTTGATTTGAAAGAAGGAAAGATTTGAAAGATTGGAAAGCCATGGATATATATTGTCTAGAGCTATGTCTTTAATGCATCCCATTGAGTTTATCTTTCGTTGCCATTGATTTCTAGTGTAGCTCTCTTAACACTTTAGTTTTGTACCATGATGCTTAGAAGATTTGCATATGACTCAAAAGTATGTTTAAATTTAACCAATTCGATGAATTGGTGGGGCTCATACTTCAATTGTATACTACACAAAAGTGCATACTGTTAATGTTTGGATCTGGAGTTCTCTCAACAGGAGCATGCTGAAGGAGATTTGAGAATGTGGAAGTTGCAATTGCATGTAGTAACATTTAGGATAACAAAAAACACTTTCAACATTTTCCAATTATAATTGTTTCAAATTGGACTTGGAGTTCTCTCAAGAGGAGCATGCTGAAGGAGATTTGAGAATATGGAAGTTGCAATTGCATGTAGTAACATTCAGGTGAGAAAAACAATAACAATGGACATTTACAATATTTTCCAATCATAATTGTTTCAAATTTTGAAATTTGTAAAAAGGGTTTCCAAGCATGGGGCAAAACTATTCAATGTATGCTACGTGCTGCGGCCGAAGAACTGGATTTTTCAGGGATTGAAAGCTCATGCTCACTTTGGTAAAAGTAGATTTGTGACAGTTTCCTATATGCTCTAACCCTTTTGTAATGTTTGAGGTTTTTAGGTTTCCTCCTGGCATAACAAATTGGAGAGGATTCTATAACTTCTTTGAGGCACAACAATGGATCCAACAGGGGACAGGACCAAGGATTTTATATGATGCCTCCTCCTCTCAAGACTTGATAATCCCTTCGACAAGGCAGCCCAAGACTACTTCTAATGTTGTGCCAATCACCGAGGGGAAAAGTCCTGCTAAAGAAAGTGACAGTAAGGAATATGTTACTGCTCGAGATGCAAGCGAGGACAAGTTCATAGACCCAGAGGGTGATTTTGGTTCTACCATGAAACAGGTTGAGAGTTCCTCAAGCGAGGATGTGCATTATGTAGCACCCAAACTCAATAATTTTGACCCAGATCCTAAACAAGGAGCTACTTTGGAAGCTATAGTGATTACCCTTGGTGAGGTAAGCATAAGCCAAAAGGGTACCAAGGGCCGCAAGTGCTTATAATGGGCATTTGTGGAATATTTTGAATATTCTTACCTTTAACTTCACCAATGAATTAGAAAGAGTTTCTTTCAAAGTGTGAAACATATTTTAAGATAATTATCTATTTTTATTGTGAAAGTGTTTAGATTATGGTACTTCCACAACATCAACCTAATCCATACAAACTCTCTGGATTTTGGAGTGCCCGGTGGATCTTGTGTTTGGTCCACTCCATTGACATGTATGTTAAAGGGAAGAAAACCTCTCGTGTGCATGTGGAGAACCTGGGAAATCGAGTAGATGATGTACCCTATCTCTCAATGTGGTGTAAGCAACCAAAGGGAACAATTTGAGAAACGATCCATTGGGGTTCAAATATAGAGGGAAAGGGCCCATGAACAAGAGTGCACCCCCTTTTCCAATCGGTTAAGGGTCTTGGGATATTTGGAGTTAAGCGTCCTTGGGTTTGAATAGTAGTGGGTTGGGTGACCTCCCAGGAAGTCCAAACTCAGGAGCTTACATTTGGTATCAGAGGGGTCTTGGGTCCGACTTTGTTGGTTGGCTAGGGGAATCACACCACATGTTGATTGACATCTGGCTAGTCCAGTTTGCTTCTGCTGGGCTCAACCCGAGGGGTAGGGTGTCAAGAGAGCGGGGCTCTTGGGAGAGTTGCGGCTCTCAGCTTCCGTTCACGAGGGCGTGAACTTGCAGGGAAGCATGGTGGATTGTAAGCAACTAAAGGGAACGACTCGAGAAACGATCCATTGGGGTTCAAATATAGAGGGAAAGGGCCCATGAACAAAAGTGCACCCCCTTTTCCAATCGGTTAAGGGTCTTGGGATATTTGGAGTTAAGCGTCCTTGGGTTTGAATAGTACTGGGTTGGGTGACCTCCCAGGAAGTCCAAACTCAGGAGCTTACATGTGGATCCAATTAGGCTCTCTCGGTCAGAACTCTAAAGAATCAACTACAAAGTGATGGAACTTGGATAACTCTTTCGGGCTCATATTTATAAAATGTTCAAACATACAAGAGTTTTAGTTGTTTGTGACAGTAAATAGTTACCTCAAATAATGTCCACAATCCAGTTGTGGAAGTTCTCTCTAAAGTCCTAATCAAAGATTAGGCAGTTGGTGAACTCCATGGGAGGAATGATTGTCCTTACCCGAAAGACCTGTAACAAAGCATCTCTCCCAATGAGTGAAAGCCCACCTAACAATGCTGGACCCTTGTAAGGCCTCTGACGAGCTTCCATGCACATTGAGTGTTGGAAGCCATCTTGGAGTAAATATCCCACTACGTTTGGCTCAATGAATAGGTAACGCCAGACCATCACAGCCACACATGCCTCCACAGCCTGCTCATAACCTTCACCAAGTTCGGTGAGTCTAGACTCAAGCACTGCGTTGTAGTTAGTAAATGCAAGGTTCTCTAAGATGGAATCCACAGACTTGTGTCGATTGCCCTCCTCCTTTAGGGTTGATGCACCTCGCAATTGGTTGAGTGCATTCCAAATATACGGCGCGTATGCTTTGAGGTCCATCTCATATAGTCCTCATCGGGCAAGTCATTGATCATTCTCATTTGGAACCTCTCGGGCTGCAATTGCCAATATTGCAATTGTACACCTGCGAGATACCTGTGCATGACATTCGAACGCTTGGAATAGCAACCATCCCACAAAGATAGCTTGTGCATATAGAAATGAGGAGCATATAAAATTTGTGCTTTAAACTTAACTTACCACATCCTGCTCTTCTTGTCCTAACGTCCTAGAATGCATTGGCATTTTGGGATGCCAATATGTGGCTCCTTCCCTAAGCATAAAGAGTCCACGCATTTGTAACACAAAGTTACTTTAGTGAGCCAAGTGAAAATTAAACTTCCTAATCCTGGAATTTGGCAAATAGCCTCCTTAATGGCTTTTGCATGTGGCCCACCTGCATTTATTATGGATTCCTCCCACACCAAAGCTCCTCCAATCTCAAATGCATAGACCACTTTGTAATTCAGTGTGCGGAGATTAGTATTGAAGGTGAATTAGAAACAACTGAATTCATTGTTTGGTGCAATCTGAAAGGACAAGTGAGGGAACTTTAATTCATAGGCAATCCATTGCTTACCAGAATGTGAGACAGCCTCAAACATGTATAAGCAAGATTGTATGGCCAAAGCATAGCCTTCTCGATGCAAAAACGAGAGAACTTACAATATAGTGTTTCAGTAGTGGCCAATAATTCTTTTAATTGTTGTGTAGCTGCCTAATTTCTACGTAGGTCTTTGCACAAAATAATAAAATGGTACTAAGTGCTAAGAAATAGATACACATACCTCTTGTCAATGAACCATGCTATTGTGGACTCAACAATTGAAGAAGGCACATTGATACTTACTTTAGCAAAGAGTTGTTGGATTGTATTGTCACAAAACACGCGCTTCTAAAAGGCCAAGCTTAAGGAGAACACTCTCCCAATCCTGCTAATGAAGCATGGCTTGGCTGAAAAAGCACGTGTTGAAGAAATATTTCACTGCTAGCTTAATATAACTTAGAGTGTCTAGCAATAGTATATAGCATTTATTTGTCACGTGTACTCTCCATACCAAAGCAACCAAGAAGTTTATGTTTCAGCCACTACACTTGTGAAAGAACTTCAACATCCCTATATGCCCTCACCTCAAGGGCTGTAATGGTATTCTGTAAGGCAAAAACTTCCTCATACTGCAGCATGATGAAGTTGGCATTATCCTGAGTGGTTAACTGAACAACTTCATTAAATGCATTAGTGGCATCAAGCTGTAATGCCTCTATAGCTCAGTGGTAGAGCGTCAGTCTTGTAAACTGAAGGCCTGGAGTTCAATCCTCCATGGAGGCAATGTATTTTGTTCTGGGAAAATTAGACCTTGGTCTTTCAGTATAGTCAAGCAAAAATCTCTCTGAGGAGGCGAACAAAAAAAGAGCTTTCAAGCGCTATAGAAACGAAGGAGTTTAACACGTGAACCTCTTTCGGTAGCAACACCGCAGACCACTTTTTCTACAGAGAAAACTGTGTCTCTATGCTCCAGTTCCTCCTCTTCTTCCCGCCAGAAAAGGTTCTTCATCCTCTACTCGAGATTCCTGGAGGTTCATCAACCGGGTGTAGTTTTCCAGAATCTGCTTCCCATTTTGCGTGATGATGCTCTCGGGATGGAACTGGACAGCCTGATCGAGTCGAAGTAAGGAGGGATTGAAGAACACAACTTGATGCACAGCAAGAACTTCCTACCTGGATGTGCTTATACTTACGATGCCGCACGCCCATGATGAGACCATCGTCCGTCCACGCCGTGATCTCAAGCTCGTCGCCAGGAAAGGTTTCTCTTTCGATGACCAAACTGTGATACCGGCACGCTGTAAATGGACTAAAAACAAGTGTTTGAAAAGAGCTTGGTAACAGATATGAAAGCATACTTGGGCAAGCCTGAAAATATTCCCGGTTCACCTTTCTCGTCATAGTATACCGAAGAAACTTTCCCGTGCATCACGCCATTTGGTGCTCGAACAATCTTTCCTGCCAATCAAGGTACAGACCAGAACCGGGAAAACGAAGTAGTACGCACCTCCAAACGCCTCGCCAATGCACTGGAGTCCCATGCAGACGCCAAACAAAGGAATAGAGGGCCCGAGTTCTTTCACTGTCTGCAAAGATATACCAGAATCCTGTGGAGTACCTGGAAGGACTTTGCTTGGAAGAATAAGATCTACACGGAGAACATACCTGGTCCCGGAGAAATTAAAATCCCACGAGGCCGCTTACTGCGAAAGAAAGAAAAGATGAAGGCGATTGTATTGAGTGATTGATAGACGTGAAGAGGTACCTTTTCAAAGCTTGAACGGAAATCTCGTCATTCCGATACACGACGAACTCGCATCCAAGGTCTCCCAAATACTGCAGAGCATAGATCGAATGAACAAGGGAGAAAAAAGAGAACAAAAAAATGGAACCTGGCAGATGTTGTATGTGAAGCTGTCATAGTTATCGATCACAACAACAGGGCTTCGCGATTTTCCCTGCTTGGAGTCGGACGAAACAGCCCCCGCTGACACTGCCGTGGCCCTCAGCTGCAAAGATCACTAAATATCATTCACTAGCAAGAGATCACACACACACATTGATCGATCGCGAAATAGTTTTTCACCAGACAGAGAAATCACTACTTACTCGCCCCGGAAGCGCTGATGCGGAGGACGATCGCGCTGCCGATCCATGTGAAGTCTCCAGCTCCAATCTAGAACTGAAGCCCGTCGCCGGGGGACATGGCGCTCGAGCGGCCGCCATCCAATGCGCACTGGAAGTCTTGCCCTATCTCTTGGAGAATATTCTTATCTCGAGGTACTAGTGGCGGGAAAATTTCATCCCAGATTAATGGATTCTTCTTCCTTGCGGAGCTCGTGCTTAGGGTTTCGCGTCCCTTGCTCGCGATCGCGATGCCGGGGCTCTAGGGTAAGTTTTGGGGCGCGATGCGAGGCCCCGCGGCAGCTCAAGGAGGAGCGGCGGCGCACTCCTCCCACGGCAAATGCGAGCGTGCCGGTGAGAATGGTTTGGTATCTGTCCGAGGCATTCGGGATCGCTGCTGCCGGATTGCGAAATTTCCAATCCGGGCTAGGGAAATCGCAGGGCCAGGAGCAAGAAGAAGGGGATTTTGAGGTCGTGACGAGAGAAATGGCGTGCGATCTGATCAGGAAGGACTACGAGCAGTCTTATTTTGTCACAGGTACATTCGTATTTTTCTTGGAAGTAATTCCTTTGATCGGCTCACAGGAAAGATGACCACCGGGATTTACAAGAGCGATTGCGAGTTCGCAGACCCTTTTGTATCATTTAAAGGCCTGAAGCGATTCAAGCAAAACGTTTCCAATCTCGGGGCTTTCATGAAGAAGTCGACACTCAAGATTGCGAGCTGGGACGAAAAAGAGGTGACGATTTTCTGGATCACAAAACCAAATTCGTCGTTCTCTCTTTTTTTTCCTTCTTGGTGTTCGAGCAGGATAGTCTCAAAGTAGGATGGCGTTTTAGATGCGTTCTTGCTTTGCCTTGGAGGCCAGCTATATCAGGTACCTCTCGTCTCCAATCTTTCACACTTTCTAAAGGTTTGAGGATTACTTTGCAGCTAGTGGAAGCACGGAGTATTTCTTCGATGACGAGTCTGGCAAGATTTGCAAGTAAGATCCATACTCTCGAGCTGTGCTTCAAGAAATAATTTTGTTGTCGATCAGGCACGTCGAGAGCTGGAACATATCACCGGCTGATGGTGTTAGGCAATTGTTCAAGCCGTCTAAAGCTGCCAAATCGTAAATGTATAATCTTGTAAGTTTTCTGTGTAGACTAAGTGGTCCAGTGTTTAACTCCCTCGTTTCTATACCGTAAGACCGTATGCTTGAAAGCTCTTTTGAGATAAGCAAGTCTAGGGTTAAGGACCGAAATTTCAAGTTTACAAGACTGACGATCTACCACTGAGCTATAGAGGCATTAGGATGATTACAGCTTGACAAGATTTTCTTTAGATCACAAAATATTTTGAGGTGATAGTCCATTACACATTGCCTTTACAAGACAAACTTTTGTTAAACCTAGATTAGTTCACTGTTGGAAGGCTCGTTTTATCTAAAACCCGAATTCCACACACTCTTGGTCGATGCACGCCAAGCCTAGACAACAATCGCCCACGGCCTTGCAAGACGCTCCAACATTTGGCACCGGGCAAAAGGGTGGCTCGCTACTGCTGCTGCTTGATGATCCTGGGAGCATGCGACTCTCAGCAACAAAAGCTAGAACTGCCAGGATCACCAAAAGGATCCTCAAACAAATGCTCCTTTTTGTCGCCATTCTCTTTTCTCTTTCACTGTGAGAATTAGGATTTGGGGGAGATGGGGCTTTATAGTTTAGAGCGCGAGAACCTTTTCATGGTTCAAGAATATTCTTATTCTTCTAAAAAGGTAATTTGGAGAATCGACGCATATTCTCTTCGAAATCTTGAAACTAAAATCGACGGTCTGGATGTCATGCATTTTATCCATCGGTTGGTATTTGTTATGTCATCTTGGCTATGGTTTTAGGGCTGTTTGGAGGTGTGGACGAAAAAAATGCGCGGGGATCTCCGGTGAGGGCCACATTCCCCTCTCTTGATGCTTAATCGCGAGCGCGAGAAATGCCTTGCCTATCGTGCATCGTCACCGGGCGATTTCCAGCGGCAGCAGCGTCATCGGGCTCCTGCGCGTTCCAAATCCATGGCAACAACCTCACGAGCTCCCAGCGCAGATTCCCGTCTGAATTTCGCGGCGCTCACAGCCTCCGCAAGGGAATCGCCGCGAGGACGAGATTTCGCAGCGCTCGCATTGTATCGGCCCAGGAATCGAGCAGCGGCACCTACTGGGAGCGCGAGGAGGCCCGGTGGCTCCGCGAGGAGGAGAGGTGGAAGAGGGAGGAGCAGCGATGGTTACGTGAAGAGAAGCGCTGGAACAGCGATCGAGAATATTGGGCAGTTGAGTCGTCGCGGATGAAGGAAGAGATCACTAGCCTCAGGAAGGAGGTGGAGAGGTTGAGCCGCAGCGATCAAGTCCCTGACAAGCACGACGCCTCTCCTTCGTCGCTTAGAGATGTTCTCGTGGGTCTCCTGCGAACTTTGAGCGATAGAAATGAAGAGGCAGTGGCGCCACCGTCCCAGCCAGCGAAGGCTCCACCCATGGTTACCGAGAAATCCGTGGAGAGCATCAAGTTCGTTCTATCGCCCTCGGAGACTAGCGCTGGCCAGACCAAAAGTTCTTCCAACTCCAAAGGTGGCACCAAAGGTTCTTCCAAGACAGAGAAGAAGCACGCCATCTCCAACAAGCAGGAAGCGCGGAGCTTGAAATACGGGGCTGAGGGCGATGATGTTAAGCTTCTCCAGGTGTGGTACGTGCTTTCCTTTTCGTTTTTGCGTCCGGCATTCTCTTCGTTTCATTTTCTTTCTTGCTCCAAGTATTTCTAAACCATTGCCATCTTGTTCTTTTCCTTGTGAATTCGCAGGAGGCTCTTGCAAAGCTTGGGTTCTATTGCGGGGACGACGACATGGAGTATGCTTCTTTCTCTAGCGGCACAGACCGGGCTGTGAAGTCATGGCAGGTACTCTTTTGCTACTTCCTCTGTCTTGCCTTCGTCTCGCAAGGTATGACCCCGTGTCTTGAATCTGGCATGCAGTCATCCATAGGTGCTGCAGAGGATGGAATTGTTACTGCGCAAGTGTTGTCGCAACTTATCAGTGAGCATCAAGTCATAACAGTGAATACCTCTGCTGCGATCAAACCGCCCGAGGTATCTTAGTTCCTGTAAAACGTTTGGAGCTTTTTGAGGCCTTACCCTTCGACTTTATACAGAGCCCAGAGGTTGTGGATAGAAGCTCCACCGGACGAGTTTACCTCCTGGGAGAAAATCGATGGGAGGATCCGGAGAGACTGTTGCACAGGCGGCAAGCGAATCCCGCTGCGTCTCAGAACTGCTATACGTGTAGAGGCGAAGGCCAGACACTGTGCTCGGGTTGGTACTTCTCAAACTTTCTCTTCTACATATCTCAAAGATTGGTTTGCAGAATGCGATGGCACTGGAGAACTTAACGTCGAAGAACAGGCAAGCTTTCAAGCACTTCCATTCGGTGTTACTTATACTCGTTTAAACTTGCAGTTCCTCGACTGGGCCGGCGAAGGGGCCAAGTGCCCATACTGTGATGGCTCGGGGACTGTGGTTTGTGAAGACTGCGAGGGGAAGGGTGTGGCGGCCACTTAAGCTAGAGTTCGTCCAAAGTGTAGTAAGATCGTTTAAACTCCCATGGCTGACATACTTGATACGTGCCTTGGAGTTTTAGAAGGCTTGAACAACGGTGATATGTTCCAGCTCTCGGAGTGAACACCACGAAATTCATTCTTTGAGAACAACTCAAAAGTATGTATCTTTACTTGCCGAAGCTTGCTTCCACTGGCTGCAAATTCTAATCTTTATAGCTGAAGAGGAATGGAAGTTTTGATGTAACTCGTCTTCAAGGCAATGCTCTTCGAAAGATCGATCAATTCTATCATTTCCGAAACTGTCGACCGTCGGATGAAGCTCCATAGCAGCCGTTGGATTGATGAAATCCAAACCGTCGGCTCTAATTTGTTTGTAGAACCCTGAATCTGGTGTGACCTATATTGTCGGGTGCCATGGCGGGGGCAGAGGCAATCGTCGCGGCAGTGGTCGCGTCCCTGATGCTCAGCTGCGCGGCCTTTACTGAGGAGAATCCAACCGATCGGCGCGTTCTTGTTCTTCTGGAGGATCTCGCCATCGAGTCCACGCATTCGTTGTTCTTCAAATCCCTCTCAGGTTTGCTGCGCAGCATCGCATTTTCGTGCATTCTTTGCTGATCCGAGGCTGTAGACAGAGGCTACGAGCTGGATTTGAAGCTTTCGACAGATCCGAAGCTAGCGCTTCAAAGGTATGGAGAGTATTTGTACGACGCTCTCGTGATTTTCTCTCCTTCGGTCGAAAGTAAGCATTGCAAAGATCTGTGTGAAAGTAGAAATATCGCCTCACGTTTTTGGTTTGTTCGTGAAGAATTGGGTGGCTCGCTCACGAGCGAGGCAGTGCTCGACTTTGTGGACTCGGGACATGACTTGATTTTGGCTGCGAATTCCACCACCTCGCAGTTTATTCGCAACCTGGCTGCCGAATGTGGAGTAGAGTTTGAAGAGGTACGTGAAGCTTTGTGAATTTAGCATTCTGGAAAATTCATCTCGTCATTTTCAGGATTTCGATTCCGTTGTGATAGACCATCTGAGTTTTGATGATGCACGCGATGCCAAAGACCACAGTTTGCTTGCAGCGAAGAACCTTATAAAATCTAAGGTCATTCTTGGTGCCAAGGAAATTCAGGTATCGAATAGCTCTTCTTTTTGTAAGGTGCTTACTGTCTAACAAATATTTCTGCTAGGCTCCCATTCTCTACCGTGGCATAGGGCACGTAGTGAGTCCCGCGAATAGCCTGGTGAGTGTGCTTTCTGCTAGTTTCAACGTATTGTTCATCTAGAATTCCAGGCTATAAAGGTGTTGACTGCATCGTCCTCAGCGTATTCAGCGAATCCGAATGCTGTATTGGCGAGTCCTCCTGCTCTCACTGGCACAAGTATCGGACTGGTCTCTGTTGTCCAGGTATGCGTTGTATTCATTTCTTCTGCTTCTTTTCATTTTTTTATTTTTCCTTGCAGGCTAGAAACAACGCACGCATCTTAATATCGGGGTCCTTGGACATGTTCAGCGACAAGTGAGCATTGTTTGCTTCTCTAAATTTGGTTGTGACTGGTGAGCTTGTCTTCTTGCAGTTTCATCAATTCTCCTGTTCGAATCACTGGAAGTACAGAGAGGTCTGAGCTCCAGTCTGATGATGATTCATTTCTAAAGTTTCGTGTTTGTTTTAGGTTCGATAAATCAGGCAACCAGGAGTTCGTTGATGAGCTGAGCAAGTGGGTGTTTCATGAAAGGGGCCACTTAAAGGTGATCCTAAAAACGCAGGACTATTTTGGCGCTAACCTCTCATTCTCCAGGCTGTAAATCTACAACATCACAAAGTTGGAGAGAGCGGCGAGCCTTCGATGTACAGAATCACCGACCATCTGGTGGGTTAAGCAAGTTGACTGAATGCGTAGCTCTTACTCTTTGCTTTCTGTTTGACGCAGGAATTTTCTCTCGAGATTTACGAATGGACGGGCAAAAACTGGCAGCCATACCAAGCAGATGACGTCCAAGTGGAGTTCTACATGATGAGCCCTTATGTACTCAAGACATTGAATCACAACGGGAAGGTGCTGTAAGGGCTGGACTGAGTTATGGATTTATCAGCTGTATGGCAATGCAGGGTAAATACGAGACATCCTTTCAAGTCCCGGACGTCTATGGAGTATTCCAATTCAAGGTTGATTATAAGAGACTCGGCTACACCACTCTGGACCTGAGCAAGCAGGTAAATAGACTTGAAGACATTCAAATGTGGTACTAAATGCGTGCCCATGCAGATCCCTGTGAGACCTTCTCGTCATAACGAGTACGAAAGGTTCATCAAGGCTGCATACCCTTACTACGGGGGCGCGTTTTCAATGGTACATATATTACGGTGGTTGCTTGTTTGGTGGATGATCTGATCCTTGTTATTACAGATGGCAGGCTTTTTTGTTTTCGGCATCGCCTTCTTGTATCACAAGTAGGAACTGACTACAGACCGGTGTAGTGTTTCACAAGTCGTGAGCTAAATTATGAAGAAGGATCTGTCAAAGTCGCTATATTCTGCTTACGCTTCTTGTTGGGGTTTTTGTCGAACAGTATCCAGTGTAGCAGCGGTGGAGCCATGTGCAAATCTAGTGGCCCCGTGAGCCTTTCATGTTGGGCCATCTCTCCCAGGCAAGCGTATGCTTTTCTTTTCATTCTCTCTCTCTCTCTCTCTCTCGTGGACTAACTTAGTCCAGTTTTTAAGGACGGGACATTTAGGTGGAGTGAGATTCAAGCATAGGACGCGTCCCAATAGGAGACATTTCATGTCAACGTCAGGGGGGAAAAGCAAATGAAAAGCGCCTGGGAGATTGGCAGGAAGGTCTTAAAAGCCGCAAAGTGGGAAGATTTCCCACAAAAACCACACCGACATCCTCCCCCTCTTACTGCATCTGATCCTACTGGTAAAGGAGTTCACTCGATATTCACTTTCTGATTTTTCTCCTTTTCATTTTCCAGCCGGACCGTCTGCCACCGAAACGTAGGAGCGACACGACTACACTACACTACAGTAGTACACCAGCACAGACAGTTTTTGTTTTCCCGGATCGGCTTTGATCCTCCTGGAGGGGTAAGAGTAACCTCTGTTTTGATGTGACGCGCGTTGTATCCCAGGCGAAGTCAAGCGATGCTTTCTCGTTGCAACTGACTCCTGGCCGGGCTGCCAAAATGCCATATGGGTGGGGACACCGCGCCACGACACTTTAAATGGTACATTAACGTAAATCGTTCTCGAGCGTGGAAAGAGAGCTCAACAACAAAACAGACAAAGCTCCAAGTTTATGGACTTGCGCGCTTGTCAATGGGGTGTTTTTATTGGCAGCCAAAGACGAACACAAGCAAAGAAAGCGAAGCAAAGAAAGGGGCTGTGTGAGAGGGACAAGCAAAGATGTAGACGGGCACCACTAGTCGCACAGGCAAAGCAAAGAGAGGAAAAAAAAAACAATGGGGCATGCAACACAGCAGGGACAGCAATGAAGTTGATAATTGAAAGCAAAAAAGAAAGAGGAGGACAAGCTGGCTGTCACAAACCAACATATAAGCCTTGTGCACCACCCTTTTTTTCCACACAAACAGTGGGGTTGGGGGTAAACCCCGGGCAGGCCCACGCTGCCCGCCGTTAGCTGACGGCGCTAGGGCATGCCAGGCTGGCGCGAACCCGCGTAAACCCTAAAGCAAGATTTAGCTTTGACCCGGGTGCGATCATAATCGTAATAGTGATTTTCCACGTGTCATGAGCGTCAGATTGCCTTGTATCGCAAACTTTTCCAGGACATCATGTCATACGTTAGTAGTGGCCGCCACACGGCGGGGCATATTCCCGCCACCTACTCTGGGGAATCTGCCCGCCACCTGGCCTTTGGCGGGCTCGGGTTACGGAGGCCACCTATTCCGCTTCCGAGCTAGCTGTCCGGCCCGCTGCCCGCGGGCAGCCAGGCACGTGCGCGGGGGAAGGATATTCCGGCGGCGTGGGGGATATTCTGGCGGCGGAGACCTTCATTTTTTTGGGCATGGCGAATGATGGGGAGCTCTCGTGTGCCTGGTAGTGAGAGTGTGCGCGTTTTAGCGTTTTTTGTGGTGGCTCGCGAGGGCGAGGGCATGCAGCGTGACCGCGCGGCCCAGGCACAGCGATCTCGCGAGGTTGGAGGCGCGGCATTGTGAAGATCGCCGCTGGGAGCTTTTGTCTCGCGTGAATGCGGGGCCGCATTTGCACGGCGCCAGCAGCAGGAGCGGGATTTCGGCCCCGATTCATCGTCGCCACGGCAGCGCCGCCGCGAATCCATCGCGGGGGAGGAGTGATCGGGTGATATTTCGATCCGGGGGGGTTTTTGGCGGCCAATGGAGGCGAGCGCGGGATTAGTCGCGGGGTCGCACAATCGCAACGAGCTGGTGGTCATCCGGCAGGAAGGAGACGGGGTACGCCAAAATCTCCTCTCCTTGCTCGAGATTTCTTTCTTTTCTCTCGAATTTCGCGCATCTGGCCGGGAATCCTAGGCCCGGGCGGCCTGGCCTCGGGCTCTCGGGCCTTTTCGCGCAATCTCTCTTTTCTTTTGTTTTGTTCTTGGTGGTTGGCCTCGTTGGATGATGTTGGTGGATTTATTTGCTCAATGCAGGTGAAGCCATTGAAGCACCTCAACGGCCAAGTCTGCCAAATCTGTGGGGATGACGTCGGGTGTACAGTCGATGGCGAGCTCTTCGTTGCGTGCAACGAGTGTGCCTTCCCGGTGTGTCGCCCTTGCTACGAGTACGAGCGCAAGGATGGAAACCAGTCGTGCCCCCAGTGTAAAACGCGATACCGGCGCCACAAAGGTAAAGAGCTAGCGTGATCTTTGCTCGGGTTCGCAGGAGCTGTGGCTTACTGGGTTTTCCTTTTCCTGTTGGGCGAATGCAGGTAGCCCTCGCGTCGAGGGAGACGAGGACGAGGACGATGTTGACGATCTCGAGAACGAGTTTAATTTCAATGAGGATCGCCAGGAGAGGCAGCAGCACATTGCCGAGGCAATGCTGCATGGGCACATGAGCTATGGGCGCGGGGACGAGCAGGACTTGCCGCCGGATATGATGCAGCCCATCCAGCCAAGGCATCCTCTGCTCACCAACGGAGAGATGGTAACTTTCTGCCTAGCTTTTTCTGTGGCTTTCACTTTTTTTCTTTTATCTTTTTTCTGCTAGATTACATGCAAACTCACCACTCTCTTTTGTCTTTTTACCAGTTTTCTGGAGAGCTCCATGGAATTCCTCCCGACCATCATGCAATCGTTGTGCCACCTATGCTCGGTGGAAAACGCGTACACCCTCTTCCTTACATCGATCCGAACCTTCAAGGTTGGTGTTAACGATGATATGGCACACGCACGCTGTATTAAACGATATATTTGTTTTGTCGTCACAGTTCAACCCAGATCCATGATGGATCCTGATAAGGATCTGGCATCTTATGGCTATGGAAGCGTGGCCTGGAAAGAGAGGTTGGAGAGCTGGAAGCTAAAGCAGCAGAAAATGCAAATGATGATGACTGAAGGCAACCAAGGAGATGGAAAGGGAGGAGACCATGGTGACGATGGGAATGGACCCGACCTACCAATGTACGTCGTTTTGCTTTTTGCCTCATCTTGCTAATGGTTTTATGTTTCTGTAGAATGGACGAGGCGAGACAGCCTCTTTCAAGAAAGGTTCCAATCCCCTCGAGTAGGATCAATCCTTACAGAATGATTATAGTCATTCGTCTGGTGATCCTGGGATTCTTCTTCCGTTATAGAATTATGAATCCCGTGCGAGATGCATACCCCTTGTGGTTGACGTCGATCATTTGCGAGATCTGGTTCGCGTTGTCTTGGATTCTTGATCAGTTTCCAAAATGGCTTCCAATCGAACGAGAGACGTACCTGGACAGACTTTCTTTGAGGTAGGCGCGGTAGTATATACATTGCCATTGATGTTGATTTTAATGGCGTGCGTTTCAGATATGAGAAAGATGGGGAGCCATCGCAACTCGCTTCTGTCGATGTCTACGTTAGTACTGTGGATCCGATGAAAGAGCCGCCGTTAGTCACGGCGAACACCGTTCTTTCGATCTTGTCAGTTGATTATCCCGTCGACAAAGTTTCTTGCTACGTTTCAGACGATGGTGCTGCAATGTTGACATTCGAGGCGCTCTCTGAAACTTCCGAGTTTGCTCGCAAATGGGTGCCGTTTTGCAAGAAGTTCAACATTGAGCCTCGGGCACCCGAATGGTACTTTGCGCAAAAGATTGACTATTTGAAGGATAAAGTCCAACCGAGTTTTGTAAAAGAAAGACGCGCCATGAAGGTATGTATATGCATTTCGTGTTTCTATTTCCTAACAGTGAACATGCAGAGGGAGTACGAGGAGTTTAAAGTTCGCATCAATGCTCTGGTTGCAAAGGCGCAAAAAGTTCCAGAGGAGGGATGGACGATGCAAGATGGGACTCCGTGGCCTGGAAACAATACGCGCGATCATCCGGGCATGATTCAGGTACGTATTCCTTCATTTCTGTCAGGACCGATAAAGAATGAGTGTTTGCAGGTGTTCTTGGGTCATAGTGGTGGTCATGACACGGAAGGAAATGAGTTACCTCGCCTGGTGTATGTTTCTCGTGAGAAGCGCCCTGGGTTTAACCATCACAAGAAGGCCGGTGCTATGAATGCCTTGGTACGGTCTCTATACTCTGATCTTTTATGTTTTTGTTGACAATCAACTTCTCTAGGTGCGAGTGTCTGCGGTGCTAACGAATGCTCCATATTTTCTTAACTTGGATTGCGATCACTACATAAACAACAGCAAGGCTGTGAGAGAGGCTATGTGCTTTATGATGGATCCAACATTAGGGAGGAAGGTTTGCTACGTGCAGTTTCCTCAGAGGTTTGATGGTATTGATCGTCACGATCGATACGCTAACCGCAACACCGTCTTCTTTGACGTAAGACTACTAAACGTTAGGTGTTTACAGTTGCTGACTCTGTGATTTTTCAGATTAACATGAAAGGTCTCGATGGCATTCAGGGCCCCGTATACGTGGGTACAGGTTGCGTCTTCCGAAGACAATCGCTTTATGGTTACGAGGCACCTGCTGGAGAGAAAGAGAAGGAAGCGGCCAGTACTTGTGATTGCTGTCCCGGATTTTGTTGTGGGAAGCGGAAGAAGACCAAGAAGCAAAAAGTGAAGAAGATGGAGAAGAGAATGATGTCTACCAGGAGTGATTCGTCCGTCCCAATCTTCAACCTCGATGACATAGAAGAAGGATTTGAAGGTAAACAGTTTACTCAGGTGTTTTTCTTTTTTCATAACTCTTTTTTTCATTTCAGGATTTGATGAAGAGAAATCGACGCTAATGTCTCAAAAGAATTTTGAAAAGCGGTTTGGTCAATCTCCTGTTTTTATCGCATCAACACTTTTGGAGCACGGAGGTGTTCCTCAGTCCGCGAGCCCCGCCTCCCTTTTGAAAGAAGCCATTCACGTGATTAGTTGTGGTTACGAAGACAAAACCGAGTGGGGAAAAGAGGTAACGCAATGCAAGTTCAGAGACATTCCTCACACATTTATGTAACTGTTTCAGATTGGATGGATTTACGGCTCAGTCACGGAAGATATCTTGACTGGTTTCAAGATGCACGCTCGTGGTTGGAGATCAATCTACTGCATGCCTCAACGAGCTGCATTCAAGGGATCCGCACCTATCAACTTGTCCGATCGTCTCAACCAGGTGCTCCGGTGGGCTTTGGGGTCCGTTGAGATCTTCCTGAGCAGGCATTGTCCCCTGTGGTATGGCTACGGTGGCCGGCTGAAATGGCTCGAGAGATTTGCGTACATCAACACGACGGTCTATCCTCTCACGTCCATTCCTCTCGTGGCCTACTGCACGCTTCCAGCAGTCTGTTTGCTCACCGGCAAGTTCATCATCCCAGAGGTACGTACGAAGCTTTGTTACAAGTTTCTTGAAGCTCACATCGTCTCCTTTTTGACACGTCCAGATAAGCAACTTCGCCAGCTTGTGGTTCATCTCCATGTTCGTGTCCATCTTCGCCACGGCCATTCTGGAGATGCGGTGGAGCAACGTCGGCATCGAGGAGTGGTGGAGGAACGAGCAGTTCTGGGTCATCGGCGGCGTCTCGTCCCACCTCTTCGCGGTGTTCCAGGGCCTGCTCAAAGTCCTCGCCGGTATCGACACCAACTTCACGGTGACGTCCAAGGCCACGGACGACGAGGAGTTTGGCGAGCTCTACACGCTCAAGTGGACGACGCTGCTCGTCCCCCCGACGACGCTGCTCATCATCAACCTGGTGGGAGTGGTGGCCGGTTTGGCGGACGCCATCAACAGCGGGTACCAGTCGTGGGGGCCGCTGTTCGGGAAGCTGTTCTTCGCGTTCTGGGTGATCGTCCACTTGTATCCGTTCCTCAAGGGGCTCATGGGACGGCAAAACAGGACGCCAACCATCGTCATCGTCTGGTCGATCCTGCTGGCTTCGATCTTCTCGCTGCTTTGGGTGAGGATCGATCCATTCTTGCCGAAGACCCAGGGGCCTCACTTGCAACAGTGTGGATTGAACTGCTAGCTACCACGGTACCCATTTTTCGTTCGGTTTTTTATTTTTCTTTCTTTCTTCTTTTTCTCTCTTTCTTTATTTCTTTTCTCTGTTTTCTTTCTCGTCTTTTTGGATTGAATCTCGCAGGAGCTACCGAAGAAAAAAAAATGGTGGTGAGAAAGTAAAAAATTGTACATTAGTTCTCTTTTTAGCGACCACAACCAAGTCGAGCGGTTTTATTCTTTTGCTCTCCACGTTTCCCGGAAGAACACAAGAGTGCTGCGCAATAAAGAAGAGAGGTTTTAGGGTTTAGGGATTTGGATGGAAGGAGGAGGAGTGGAGGTGGAGGAGAGGGCGAGCGTGAAGCAGTGCCGCAAGCTGCTGTACAGGAGCATGCGCATCGGCGTTGCGGACGGGCGGATTTTCGTGGGTAAGTTCCACTGCCTGGACAAGCAAGGGAATATCATCCTCTACGACACGCTGGAGCAGCGGCAGGGCGCGGGCACGGAGTCTCGGAGCCTGGGATTAGTTCTCATCCCCACGCATTGCCGCGTTTCTTGCCATGTCGAGTGCTCGCTGGGGGAAAATCTCTCGGCGCTCTCTTTGAACTAAAGTCCAGTGATTCCCCCTCTTTCTTTCTTCTTCGTTTCACTCTCTTTTATTCGATCTTTTCGTCGCGTTTTTCTTGCTAGTCTTATTTTCATCGCTTTGGAGTGTGTTTTTAGCCTCTGCTGGGTTGCCTTTTGCAGCGCTGTGCTACTAGACCATGGAGAAGAGAAAGAGAAAGAGTGTGTCGTTTTACAGCTCGCAGCAGTGGGACAAGCAGCGCGCCAAGCGATCCCGCAACGACGATGACGAGTTTTATGAGGTGGAATCCATCCAGCAGATGAGGCTTTTCGAGGTTCGAGCTGTTCCTTTGGTTCTTCTTTCGCTCAAGATGCTTGCTTCTGTTTTCTTTGCAGGGAAAACTCCATTACTACATAAAATGGTGTGCTTCGTGTTCTTCGCTCTATGTTTTTTTTCTTAAAGGCTTTCTTTCGCTGCAGGAAGGGATATCCAGAGGAGTTCAATACTTGGGAGCCGCACAAGCACCTAGCGAATTGCCCCCAGGCCCTCAAGGACTTCGAGCGGAGGTAAGAGCGTCATTTCCTCTCATGACAAATGAAACAATCGCTTCTTTTCTTTCTTGTAGTCAGCAAGCTTTGGTAGCAGCTGAAGTGAACGCTGAGGTGAAAGCTGAAGTGGAAGGCGAGAAGGCCCTGCCTCCATTGCTAGCTGCAAAGCCACACCAGGACCTTGGAAGCCCGAGTTTGCAGTCCACTGTTGCGAATCACGTCGCGGTGGAGAAAATTCTCAAGGCAATGAGCTACTCCACGAGAGAACTCAGCAACGGGGAGAAGGATCTCAATGTGACCTTCAAGGTTCTACGGTAAGACTGGCCTTTGTTTCTAGGCTTTTCTCTTGAGCTTGTTCGCTTTGTTTCGCTCTGTAGGTCCGATGGCGAGGAGATTCTACTGGATAACAAGTACCTGCGCGAAAATTATCCCCAGCTGGTAGTTTTCATTCTTTTTTTTTCTCCTTTCGTGTTTTATGGTAGCGAACTTACACATGAATTTGCAGCTTCTGGATTTCTACGAACAGCGTGTGAGGAACGTCCGGCAATGAGAGACTGGGGATAGTGTACATAATTTCTTTTTCCAACTTAGAGCTAGAGTACTTGCGGACGAGATGCTAAAGCTTGGGACAAACTCTTTTTGAGTTAACTCATGGAAATTTTGAAGTTTACTATCGCAGAAACAAATGATTTATGAATATTTAAGTGTCAATAATTTTCGAGAAACTGCGACTACAAAACATTGAAGAGGATCATGGCTGCGAAAAACACCAAAACAATGTAGTTTAGTAATCACAGTGACGATTATTGCATACGTACAGCAACGAGATCCTCCTCGTGCTTGGGAATGAAAGCTGTGTCAACCTTTCCGTCCTTAAAGTCCTATGTAACCAGAGTGAAAGAGATCATGAGAAAAGGGAAGGCAAGAAAGAAGATAGTCACCTGAATCTCCAGGATAAGCTTGTGATAGTCAATTGTAGTCGGGACCCCTGAGCAAAGCCACACTCTTAATAGAAACAAATCGATTTGAGAAGGGATAAAAGTACCTGTGATTATGGTGTCTTGCAACGCTCGCTGCATGCGAGCAATAGCTCTCTCCCGTGTTGGTGCCCAGACGATCAGCTATAAAGAAAAGTTTTAACCGAGGCTTAGGAGAAAGCATAGCAAACCTTTCCGAGGAGAGAATCATAGGTGGGAGGAACAACATAGTCTGGATAGAGGTGGCTATCCATTCTCACGAAGGGGCCTCCTGGAGGAACGTAGCCTGTTATACGGCCTGTGGATGGATGGTTAGTCTTAGGACAAGCGTTATGAAGTTTCAATGTCTTACCTGGTCCAGGCCGGAAGTTTTGAAAGGCATCCTCTGCATTGATTCGGCATTCGATGGAGTGGCCCTTCAAGACAATATCTTCCTAAACATCAAGAATAAACATTTATGAAATGAGAATTTCATGGATGAACGTAAGAACGCGTCACCTGTTTGTATCGAAGTTTTTCTCCCAAAGCAACTCGAATTTGCTCCTCTATGAGATCAGTAGAGGAGATGAGCTCCGTGACAGGGTGTTCGACCTGTGAAGAAGCAAAAGACATTAGAAAGGTGAAGAGCTAGAGAGTTGCCTCACCTGGATACGTGTGTTCATCTCCATGAAGTAGAAGGCTCCACTCTCGTCCAGCAAAAACTCAATGGTTCCAACCCCAACGTAACCAATGGATGCAGCAGCAGCCACCGCCGCATCTCCCATGGCTTTGCGCAGCTCTGGTGTTAGAGCCGGCGATGGTGCCTCCTCCAAAAGCTTTTGGTTTCTCCTCTGTAATAACAATCCTCAAAACTGGAAACAAAAGAAAAAAAAAAGAGTAATTCTACCTGAATGCTGCAATCCCTTTCCCCAAGGTGTATACAATTTCCATGCTTGTCCGCGAGGACCTGGAATTCGATGTGCCGGGGATTCTTGATGTACCTCTCCAGGTACACTCCATCGTTGCCAAATGCAGCTCCCGCTTCGCTGCGAGCTTGCTAAGAAAATGAAAGAAAATAAAAAATTAGATCTAACACTAGATTGATTTCCACGAACCTGCAAAAGCTTGACAAACTCTTCGGGTTCATTTGCTAGTCGCATACCACGACCACCACCGCCAGCCGTAGCCTATGATAACTCCAAGAGATCAGAAAAATGAAAAAACAAAAGGACAAGACATTCAACCTTGATCATGACTGGGAAACCAATCTCGTGAGCGAGACGAATGGCTTCTTCGGTAGTCTGGAAAACAACAGCGACAAAGCTGAGAAAGAAACCAAACATAGAAACAAAAAATTTACCTCGACCAGGCCATCACTTCCAGGAACAGTGGGAACCCCGGCCTTTTTCATCGTGTCTCGAGCAGTAGCCTTGTCTCCCATGGTTCGAATGCTATCAGACTGCAAAGCACAAGAAAGAAAGGGATGAAAATCAACTTGCGACCTTTCATCCATCGCTAAAGCAAATGCTTACGTTTGGGCCGATGAAGTTCAAGCCGTGATCTTTGCACATATCCACGAACTTCGCATTCTCGGACAAGAACCCGTATCCGGGATGGAGCATGGTACAATTGCGGGTCATGGCGGCGGACAGCAGATTTGGAATGTTCAGGTAGCTGCATGTCAAAAGTTAGCTGTGGACTTTGGAGGAAAAGTTGAAAGAAAGAAGGAAAAAAGAGATTTTGGGAAGGAAAGCTTCGCGGAGAAAGGAAAATGTGACTTACGATTTGGCACTGGCTGGCTCGCCGATACACACGGCCTCGTCCGCGAGCTCGACATGCAGCGAGTCCCTGTCGACGGTGGAGTGGACGGCAACGCAGGGAATTCCCATCTCGTGCGCCGTCCGGATCACACGCACCGCGATCTCGCCCCTGTTGGCCACCAAAATCTTCTCCTGGTCATAGCTGCAAGTCACGCCCCCCCGAGAGCCGGAATTTGCCGCTCTCACGGACACATTCCTGGCGCATCCTCCCCGGGCGCGGAATCTGTGTGGCAGGCACAGCGCAGCCGAGAGCGATCCCGCGAGCGACGATCCACATTCCATGGCTAGATCCGACCTCGCAAACCCAAAACCCTAAACCGCTCCTCCCTCCACGTCCTTGCTCCAAGAGTCCCCCAGCGGAGCATACAAAGCTACATTATAAATTCCAATTCATAATGCATGGACCACTAATAACAAATTAGTGTGCTAATTAATCCCTACTAACTTAATCATTTTTACACCAGCGAAATTTACCGCGCTTAAACTCTCAAAGAATGTAGGGTTTCTTTATTCTTCTCTTTGCGCAGCGGCCATGGTTGCGCCGCGCTGTGGGATCTCCGCGATCGAGGCGCCGGCGTCTCCTTCCTCGAGCAATCAACGATTGCTCTGGCGCCGATCGAGGTATGTGTGGGCGGAGGGGAGATTTTCTAGTGATTGGATTTTGGAAATTTCTAGCTGGGAAGGCATCGGTTATGGCAGCATCGGCAGCAAGAGGCGCCGCATTTCTTCTCATGCGAGCGTTTATGCTGTGTCCGATTTGCACACCGATTATCGAGAGAATTTGCAGTGGATCGTGCAGCTGTCGACCAAGTTGCATCAACGAGATACTTTGATCGTGGCGGGCGACGTCTCAGACAACTTGGAGACTTTCAAAGACACTATGAGGCTGTTGAAGGAAAGGTTTCATCGCGTCTTCTTTGTTCCTGGGAACCACGATTTGTGGTGTAGAGGCAAGGAGAACAAGCACGTAATTACACTTCGTCCTCCTTTTTTTTCGTGGGAGAAAGAAACTAATTCTTTTCTGGCTTTGCAGCTGGACTCGCTGGGAAAGTTGAGGGAGCTCAATGCGATATGCGAGTCTCTTTGCATCGACACCAAGCCAGGGAAAGTTTGCGGAGTTTGGATCGTTCCTCTACTTTCCTGGTATCACCAGGCAATCTCCTTCGTAGTTTAGCAGACGTGTTTTGGATTGACATTCGAGAATTCTTCCCCCTGCAGACATTTGATAAGGAACGGGACATAGTCGGCTACAACATTCCACCTCCCGAAAAGGCATGTTATCTTCTCTTTCATTGGTTTCAAGATTTTCTTTGCTTCTCTGCTTCTTCACTTTGAACATGTTTTCTGACAACACTGTTTGCATATGCGGTGCAGCGCTGCACTGATTATCATGCCTGTAAGTGGCCGGACGAGCTCAAGACTCCTGATATAGCACTTGCTGCATACTTCGATGATCTTAACTCTTGCAACCAGCAGTGTCTTACGGAGATTCGGCACAGCACTGAGCGAGTCATCACCTTTTCTCACTTCCTTCCCAGGTGCGAGAAAATGGGGTTGTGTTGTGTGACGTTCTTAGTGTTGTTTGTTGTGAAACAGACCAGAGCTTTGCCCAGAGAAAAGAATGCTTTTCTATCCAAATCTTCCAAAGGTGATAGGATCAGATTTCCTGGAACGCAGACTGAGGAGCATCCATGGTTCCAGTGGAAATTCCGGAGCTCTCCATGTGTTTGGGCACACGCATTTCAGCTGGGACGCTACCGTGCATGGAATCAGGTGATAAATTTTGGCCTTCATTTTGCATGGCATTGCTTGCATTGCACTGATACGTTAAGCGTGTCGTTTTTCTTTCCCCCCTTCTCTTTTTCCTCCTGGAAGAAATTTTCTTACACTAACACTGCATGCTTGCACGATGCAGGGAGACAGATACTAGAGAAAAGATTATAAGAAAAGGAGAGATGACATAAAATTGTTTGATCGTCCTCTACAGGTATCTACAGGCACCATTGGCTTATCCCAGGGAACGTCGAAGGCGAGTTTATGGTGGTGAATGCTGGCTGCCACTGTGCATATGTGACAGCGAAGGTACTCTTCTTCCGAGACCCATGCCTTGCTACTGGTCGGACTACTATCGCTTGAACAAGAGGGATCCAGACAACGTTGTGCTCGCACCGTGGGTAGCAGACTTATACTGCTTACAAAGGAGCTGAGAACTCCGAGAGCCAAGCTAGAACGAGGTGAGATACGCTTCCTTCTCTCCTTGGCCTTAAATACAGAGGGTTCATGAGCACTGGGCTTCACTCAAGCGCACGTACAAGCAAAGGCCCAGACGCTCAACACCACAGCACCAACATTCCCAGACGTGGACCCCTTTGTACTACGACCTCGCCAACCATACTCCTGATGGTGCTCCTCTCGCAGCTTGCAATGTCAACCCAAGGTGGTAGGCGTTTCCACGTCGAGGCTGTGGGAGCACAAAGGCCAGCAATGCGATACTTTGCAAGCGCCTGGGTTTATGCTGGAAATTGGAGAGTGGATGGATTCGGCGTCTGGAGACTTGACGAGGGTGGCAGCCTGGTTACTGTTTCTGCGGGGCCGTAACCAAAATATTGGAATGCGAGAGGTGTTTTGGTTTTATATGACTTGAACACAAGTAGTTAGAGTCGGTTGGCTGCCGAGCGCATGGATAGTTTTGGTGGAGCAGTGGTGTATCGACCGTCTCTGAGGCCCACGATGAAAATTTGGTGCCTTGTTTATCTATGAAGAATTTGCAATCATCTTCATTGTTTGTTTACCTCACTTATGCCTTTGTCAGATTTTGAGTTGCAGCTGGAAAGTTCTTCTGAGCAACAACTTCATGCGAAGCTGATATCTGTATTTTAAGAAGTTGAAGGGGCTCGAACCTGCAGTTCCATTTCACGCTATTAGAAGATGAACCAAACAAATTAAAAACTGTTCGTGGCCTTTCTTCCATGTTGAAGCAATGAAAGGTAGCGAAGCTGGTTTCAATTATCAAGAAAATAATCAGATGTCTGTCCTATGCAAATGTAATGCAAGAGACGGAAACACGGAATTAGTGGGCTGGAGGAAATCGTTCGACGAGACCATCCAGGAACAAGACTATTTCATCCTGTCGCCTTTATAAGCTTGAGCCTTGATAGGTTTTCATTAAAGGGATCATGAAGGAGATTGATAGGATCCTCAGCTTTGTGGACCTGGCCACACTATCGAATTGCTCTGCCGTTTGTAAGTCATGGAATAACATCATCAGCTCGCCAGCTTTTCGCCAACTATGGTGCCGCAACGCTGGTGTCAAAGAGGCCCCCCTGATCATGACAAGCTCCATGCACAGCGAGGGATGCTACACCTTCGGAACTCCTTTGTCGTCTGGCCACAGGCGGGAGCTTCGACTACGCCATGGTGACGTTGTGGCTTCCGCCGGCGGCCTTGTATGCATCCGAGGTAGAGATTCTGATGTTCTCCACTTGGTGGTCGGCAATCCACTCACCCAAGAGTGGACGGAAGTACCCGCGCTGCAGTGGGAGGACAAAGAAGAGACAGGTATTATTGACTTCGCGATGCTGGTTGATGGCGATGCCGGTTACTTCAAGGTGGGTATCCAGCACTCGGAAGCCACTACAGGCCACTCGTGCTACGTCTACGACTCGGCCACCGGCGCATGGTCAGCACTGGGCATGCTGTGCTTGACACAAGCGCACGTACAAGCGAGGGCTCAGTGGCTCAAGACCAGAGCGCTAACATTCCCAGACATGGACGCCTTATACTATGACCTCACCACCTTGGGCATGTATGACATTCGTCGCTGCGAGTGGAGCATCGGGAGTGTGGTGCGCAATCTCAGGTTCACAACAGGCCTCGAAGGTGTCAAGCATACACGCTGCGTTTTGCCGCGGCCAGGCGTGTGCACATCGAGGCTGTGGGAGTGGGATGGGCAGCGATACTTTGCAAGCGGGTGGGTGTATGCAGGAAGTGTCGAGGACGTGTGTTGTGGAGTGGATGGATTTGGTATCTGGAGAGTTGACGAGGATGGCAGCTTGGTTACTGTTTCTGCAGTGACTGTGGCCATTTGTAGTCAATATCCTCGGCTCAAGCCAATTGTACAATTGCTAGAAGTGGTCACCGCTGCAGATGCCAACCTTGTATGCTTCTCAGAGAGATGTCCGGCAATGTTGTCAGTTGTGGTTGTATATGACTTGCACACAAGTAGTTGGAGTCGGTTGGCTGCCCAGCGCATGGATCATTATAGTGAAGCAGTGGTGTATCAACCATCTCTGAGGCCTGTGAGGAAGCCGTGGCAAAATCAAGTATCTGGGTAATTCTACAATCCTCTACACTTGTCAAGCACTTTCGAACAACCATGCCACATCACTTTTTAGTTTATTATTACATGTTTTAAAGCCCAACTAGAACCATTCATTTCAATTTTAACATTGTAAAAAGCTATTGCTCCCGCCGCAACTTGGAGGTGAGGCTATGTCTTTAGTTGGAGATGAAGAGTTGTTTGTTGTGAACAGACCAGAGCTTTTCCAAAGAAAAGAATGTCTTTTTATCCAAATCTTCCAAAGGTGATAGGATCAGATTTCCTGGAGCGCAGACTAAGCATTCATGGATCCAATAGAAATTCCGGAGCTTTTCATGTGTTTGGGCATACGCATTTCAGATGGGATGCTACAGTGGATGGAATCAGGTGACCACTGAAGATGGCAACCTTGTCTGCTTTCCAGAGAGATATCCAGATCCAGTTAAATAGATGGAGTCCGTTGGCTGCCCAGCGCATGGATAGTTATAGTGGAGCAGTGATGTATCGACCGTCTCTGAGGCCTGTGATGAAGCCGTGGGAAAATCAAAGTTTCTTGGTAATGGTTTTCATGTTAGAACTTATAAAGTTAGGCTAAGTATTTGCTCGCTCTTGGTTGCACGATGCAGGGAGACAGATACGAGAGAAAAGAATACAACATAAAATTGTGGTTGGTTTAAACTGTTTGGTTCAAGCTTGATGTGTTTACGGCGATAAATGCTATGCTATGCGCTGAAGCTCAAGGCCTCGTTTAGAAACAATCCATCTTAACAAGATTAATTAATTGATAATGTGGACGTGCCGGAGTGGTTATCGGGCATGACTAGAAATCATGTGGGTTTTGCCCGCGCAGGTTCGAATCCTGCCGTCCACGAAATCGTTCTTTGAGTTAGGATTTGGACGATGACGCATGAGGATATGTCCGTATTTGAAACTTTCATGTGAACTAAACTATAATGGAAACTCATATCGGACAGCTTTTTTGTGTGATACCTATCCTGCGGAGGTGACTGCATTGAGAAAGGTTCATTTTAGTTTTGTTTCTGCTCACAATCGTTTATTACGTGTTTTGCACGGTGCCTCGCATTCGAGAGATGAACTTACAAGTCTGCTGCCCGGCGTCTTTTAAAAGAATAAACTACTTCTTTAGAAGAAAACTTAAAAGTTAATTTACGAAGACGACGCATTTGCCCGCGGGGGTGGGATCCTTTGCGGCTCCCGAACCACGTTGCGATGACAAGGTGCGAGGGATCGCCAAGGATGCCAACCGCGACGGAGGCGTGCTACTCCAATGCCCGGGAGATCGTGAGGATATCCAGTGACTTAGGGATCAAAGCGCAGCGTCGATGATCCTGCCACCATTCTGCTGTGAGTGGAATTTCTCGATATGGTTTTGCTGTGAATGGATTGGGTTGACTCAGGTGGAATTTTTGGCCAGGAATGATATCCAATTCCACTGCATTGGCGACAGTGCCAGGCTCCCGCGCCCGCTCCAGGCTAAGATCTCGGAAGCGACCAGCGGCAACACGGGGATGAAATTCGTCATGGCGATTGGTTACGGTGGTCACAGCGATCTGGTCCAGGCGTGCCAGGCGCTGGCGCGCGAGGTGGAGCAAGGAACAATGGCTGTGGAGGAGATCGATCAGATCAACCTGGCAAGGAGATTGATGCTGGAATGTTGGCACGCCGGAGCTGCTCGTTTGCACCAGCGGCGGCGATCAGCGGCTGAATATCGCCTACTCGGAGCTCGTGTTTGAAAAGAAGCTATGACCAGAGGAGTAAATGGTGGAATTTCAACAAAAGTCAAATAGTTATATATTTGTTAACCACCTTAAATGTCTTAATCTTTTATAAAAAAAATATTGAAAGAAAGTTAGTACTTTGTTTCTTACTTCAAGGGCTTTATTTGATTTTTAAAATTTTCTTTAATTGTTACAATCTGGACTTAGATTTTGACATTAACATTTATGCTGAACTATGGTAATAGTACTGTAATATTTAGTAGCTTATACATTTTTATGAAAGTTTGCATTAGAATGCAATTTTATATGGATTTATTTATTATTTTCTTACCATGTTATCTCTTATCTGATTTATATTCATTTATATTATTTAAAATTAAGTCTTGCTGGAAAAGTTAGCATGGAATGTGAGAGAGAGAGAGAGAGAGAGAGAGAGAATGCCAGAATGGCTTTCAGTACCTCAAGCATGTGTAAGTAACAATATCCTCAGCTTCCAAGGCTATTAAGATGTGTAAAAGGTGGTGAGAGTATTCTTGTTGTGACCATGAACATTACTGGCAAGATGTATGGATTAATGGAAGTTATAAACTCAATCGTCATGGTTTTCACACAGTTTTCATCACCACAAGAATATGGTAAAGACTATGGCATCACTAAATTACCAAGCTAAGCTTGATTTGGCATTCATTCAGTCCGGTCATCTCCAAATTTTGGAGGAGTTGAGTGCAAACTTGCTCAATCAGTGCACGTAAAAAAATTAACATTAACAAAAGTGGGATGTATCTAACACTTTCTGCCCCATAAACTTTCTTTAATTCGATTAAGTTTTGTAATTTTACTAGAATGCGAACTTCCATGTCTCTCCTATGCAACTACCTGAAGGAACTGCTCCCACAAAAGTCTGATAATTTGATTGAAATGAGTAAAAGCTACACTGATTATGTCCAGTTTTTATAGAGATAATCTCAAACTTGGAGGATTCTGCCTTAAAAAAGCGTGCGACCAGGTACCAAAACATTACATGTTTTTTTGCTCTTAACTGGTCTATAAAGAAGTTGAGTGAGATCTCTGAAATTGAAGTTAATCAAGATGTTTTAAAGCTCAACACGAACCGCAACAATGGCTAGATATGTTGCATTTCTACTTTTATTACTTTTCTCGGTGTGGCAGCTAACCCAATATCTAATAATACATGAATATGGGGTGCACAAGAAATTATCAGAGAGAAACCCAATTGTCACCAATGTTTAAAGCTAAAGAATGTAGGGTTTTTTCTTTAGTGCCAGCGCGCCGGGATCGGGAAGCCAATCTAGGCGCCGAAGAAGGTATGGTTTTCGATCAGTGGAAGAAAATAGAAATTGACCTCGCAATGTCAGCAAGAAGAGGCGCCGCCGCATTCCTTCTTACCAGGTGAGCGGCGGGAGGGTTTATGTAGTATCGATGAAGTTCTAGCAACGAGATACTTTGATTGATGTCTCGGACAGGCTGATTTTTTTCGGGTCTTCCTGGTTGCTGGGAATGAGGACTTACGCAAGAAGCACAAACACGTAAGTGCATCTTTCTCTGTGAGAGGAATGGAGATTAATTCTTTGGCTTTGTAGCTGGACTTTTCCTCCTGTGTGATCATGATGTTGGGATGAAAAGAAACACCACAAAGAGAAACAAACCTTGCTGGCAAAGGTGAGCGAGCTCTGTGAGTAACTTTGCGTCGACACCAAGCCATGGAAAGCTTGTGATATTTGGATCGTTCCTCAACTTTCCTGGATACCACTAGGCAATCTTTTTTGTATTTGCGCAGACGTGCTTTGGATTGACACTCGACAATTCTTCCTACTGCAGACTTTTGACAAAGAAATCGGCTCACAACATTCCACCTCTCGAGAAGGCACGTTATCCTCTTTCCTTTTTTTTTTTTCCCCCGCTTCTTTTCTATCTTCTTTGTTTTTGTTTTTGGTTTTCTATTCTATCTATGCGGTTCTTCGTTTGGACACGTTTCCTGACAACATTGTTTGCATGTGTGGTGCAGACTTGTATTGATTGTCATGCCGGACGAGCTCAGAACTCCGGATATTTTGACGACCTTAGCTCTCTTAACGGAGATTTGGCACACTACTACTGGCCGGGTCATCTCGTTTTCTCACTTCTTCCCAAAGTACCTCGTACGGCTCTAGAAATCCGCTCCCGGAAAACGGGGTTGTGTTGTCTGACGTTTGAGTGTTCTTTGTTGTGTGCAGACCAGAGAAAGGGAATACTTTTCGATCGAAATCTTCCAGAGGTGATAGGATCAGATTTTCTGGAGGAGCATCCATGGGTCCAGTGGAAATTCCGGAGCTCGCCATGTGTTTGAGCAAGCTGGGACGCTGCAGTGTATGGAATCAGGTGATTATTAGCTCCTAATATCTGGCATTCATTTGCATGGCACTGCTTGCAGGACTGATACGTTAGCAACAGTTGCTTCGGTTTTTCATCCTTTTTTTTTTTCTCAGTGAAAGGAGCACTGACATCGATGCAGGGAGACAGACAGAGATACTCCGAGAAAAGAATATAACATGAAATGTGGTTAGTCTTTTTAAACAGTTTGGTCTAAGCCTACTTAGTGCTGGTCGCCTTCTGCAGGTGTCTTCGGAGAACTTCGAAGGCGAATTTATGGCTGCCACTGTGCATGTATATGACAGCGAAGGTACTTTTCTTCGGAGGCCCATGCCTTGCCACTTGCCGCTAGTAATCGGACTACTATCGCTTTAACGAGAGGAATCCAGACAGCGTTGTGCTCGCACCGTGGGCCGCAGACTTGCACGATTCCCAACGGAGATGGAAATTCCGAGAGCCATAACTTCCGAGCTCCAACAGCGGGCACTCCCAATCATGGAGGAGATCTTTATAAACTATCTTCTGGGAGACTAAACTACTGCGAGGACAGCAAAACAAAGGCGAGGCCGGTGACTGTGCTCGTGTCTTAAACGCGCTTGGATGGAGGAGAGAAGAAAAAGAGAAGGAAAATCCAGTTGATCGACCGCTTGGACGCATCCTCGGAAGCATTTGCTCGTTTTGAGTTCCCGAGGGGATCATCTGGCTGGTTGCAACTTGGAGGTGAGGCTTTTAAATCGTTTTCTAGCAGGCGTACAGCGGAAAGGATGATCTCACCAAAGCTCATCATCCTGAGGTAAAGTAATGCTTCTTGTTTTTCTTCTCCGCCTTTTGCCTGCTTTGTTTTTTGTCTGTTTCATTGTCTAAACTCGCGCTTGATTGTCTCTCTCTCTCTTGTTTCGTTGCAGCCCAGCTGCTCGCCACGGATCAATCAATCAATCAATCAATCAATCATTCAGTCGGTCAATTCACTCGCTCGAACCAATCCGTCGATCGATCGCCCAAGAGCTGCTGCTTGCAAACTCTGGAAAGTCGGAGAGGGATGAGCTGATCTTCCGTTCCGTTAAAGCTGGAGATCCAATAATTGGTCAAAGAGTTAACTTATGGATCGTCCTTCTCTCATCGCAGGGAAGATAGAAAGAAATAAAGTCTCCTTTGCGAGGCAAGACATTGATATGGATCGAAGTGACGAGAGAAAAGCTTATTGCGAGTACTTGAATAGCGCTGCAGGCGTTCTCACATGGTGCATGGTCCCATACGTAGCTAAAACAAGCATATTCCTCCATGCAGCGTGGCATATGCCTCCAAAGTTTTTGCCGCACATGGAAAACTTGCATTTTTCTATTTCCAGAGATTTCATTGGCTGGGACCTGGCCGCATTAAATGCCACTTGACCCAGCTAGCCTTGCAAAGCCCAGACAACCCGCCGGACAAAGCGTCCGTCCAACGGTCCGGGAGCGTGTAGAGACAGCGACCGCGGCACGGACCGACAGGAATTCTCGGCGCAATACCACGTGGCAGCCACGTTGGCGGGCCCCGTCCATCAATGCGGCGGAGAGTCCACGCTGTACGCCTTGCAACGTGGCAAGTTTTTAGGGCACGAGTCTTTTAATTTCTCTCCTCTCCCGAAAGTTTCGTATCGTATGAAACCTTGTGTGTGTATGAATCGATAGAGAGAAAAAAGATGCCAGGGATTTTTATAGCAGCGAACAAAGCTCTTCGTGGTCCCGGAAATCTTTCATGGAGCCCGTTGGCATTTGTTTTCACGTACGTCACCCATCTTAAATGCGATTTGGAAAAACATGGAACAAGAATTTGGAGAACATCCATCCATCCTATAGTTATAGTTTTAATCTCTTGATCGATCACACTGTGCGCCTTTTGGCTCTTGTTGTGCTATAAGTTATGGCTACACTGGAAAATCTCCCTGTGATGATCGATGATCTCACGGGTGTGCCCTATCTCGCTTTCTCCTTCTTTAGCCTTAGAGTTTACATCGTTTTCATGCTGGTACATGTTCTATTTGCTTGTCCGTGCTGGGCGTAAATCTGTGTTGTCTGACCTCCGTGATACCCGAGCCAATCGTGGCCGTCGGCAGGTCGTGGCATGCTAGCGACCGTCGGATGACGCCTTGTGACGAGGACATGACGACGGTGCTGATCATTTGTTCTTCGAATTGTGTTGAACTCTAGGCTGGAATTTGATCGATTCCGTGATCCTGGGTTTTGTAAATTCCCCAAGTTTGACTTGGAAGCTTTGGTGATCAGAACAAGGGCTTGTTTAATCAACGCTCGTTTATGAGAGTCCATTCCAATTTTAAAGGGCGTGGTATCTACGCCTGATTTGATGCCTTGTCTTGTTCGCTCATTTCGTGATTGGCTCGCTCGCAAGTTTTGAAAGAAAAAGGATGACTCCGAAAGAGATTGGCATGTGTATGAATGAGGTCACGGCCTACTACTTGGGGATAGGCCGCATATTCCAATCAATCTACACGAGAAATGTGTGATTAAGAAATCGCGTAAAACATTGTAAAGCATAAGCGATGCGGGTTTACTAGGTTTTCGACGAAGTCAACGGGCCTGCTGGCCGGCTCCAGTGCTTGGTCAAACGCCAAGTGGCATCCAAGGGCCAGGATGGCACCACGAAGCAGCGCCGGCGAATATGCTGGCGCGGGTTTAAAAAGCGCGGCAAAGTGATTTTTTACCTGGCGAGGCGGTGTCGGTGGTGGCAATCCACGTCGGCGTTTTTCCCGTGCCACGTCGGCGTCGCAGCCATGTCATAGCGGACCAGGGGTTCTGTGCAGCCAGAGAGGAGGCGAGAGAGAAAGAAAAGAAAAGAGGGAAGAGTATTTTCGGCGATTCCAGCGGCATCGGCAGCGCGTAGCATCCCTGACGCCCTACTGACGAATTCGTGTCCCCGCTGGCGCGAGTCCTTGAATTCCTGGAGGAATAACTCCAAATCTCTCATTCATCCCCAATCTCCTCCTCCATCGCTCGCTTGCTCGCTCGCTCGCTCGCGGCCGATCGATCGCAAGGCCGCCGGGGCCATGACTCTCGGCGATTCTTTTCTTGCGTCAGATTGTCACAGCAGGCCGCGGAGAGGAGGATCTGCGGGCATTCCGGGCTGGATCGACGAATCTTGCTCCGCAAGAAAGAAATTCCGGCATTTGCTAGCTAGTGTGGATAGATTATAACAGCAGCGCGAGCGCGAGCAGGGAAGAAGGCCGCGGGATTGTGCGTTATGATCCAGAAAAGGAGGAGGAGGGTAAAAAGAGGAGTGGTAGCAGTGGCACTGATGAGTGATGGGATTTCGTCGCAGTGACACGAAAATTGGGCAGCATTTCCTTCCTCTCCTCGAGACTCCGCTAGAACCCTAATCCTCCTAGTTTGCTCCCATTTTTTTTTCTCTTTTTTCTAGTCTTCTCTAGTCAATGCCTATGAATTCTCCTTGATTTCGCTGGTTCTTCCCAAGATTTAGCTCGCCGCGGCCGATCCAAGTTGGCGGCCCAGAATTCCTCCTCCCTGGACGAGGCATGGGTCGGCATTCTTGCTGCCAGAAGCAAAAATTGAAGAAGGGGCTATGGTCGCCCGAGGAGGACGAGAAATTGGTACATTACATCACGAAATACGGGCATGGATGCTGGAGTACAGTGCCCAAACAAGCAGGTAATCCACTGCGTTCTTGGTTTTTTCTTGGTGTCACCTCTTTGGAATTTGGAATTGGAGGTCGTGGTCTTCTTCTCTTTTGATCTTCGTATTGCTTTGTTTCCCTTCCCAAATGTAGGACCTTCTTTGCTCGATTGTGATGATATGATCTTTTTCTCGCAGGATTGCAGAGATGTGGCAAGAGCTGCCGATTGCGATGGATCAACTACCTCCGTCCGGATTTGAAGCGAGGGATTTTCTCGGCGGACGAGGAGAAACTCATCATCGATTTACACTCGGCCTTGGGCAACCGGTGAGAGCAAAATTCAGTGGTGAATTCTCGTGAATTCTCGTGAATTCCGCAGCTTTTGAGAAGTTGGCTGATCGAGCAATGGAAATTTCTTGTGTGTTCTTTTCCAGGTGGTCGCAAATCGCAACTCAGCTCCCCGGACGAACAGACAACGAGATAAAAAACTACTGGAACACTTGCATCAAGAAGAAGCTCCGGCAGGCCGGCATAGATCCCAACACACACAAGCCAGTGATCCAGGCGTCGGAGCACGCGATCAATCCCGAGAGCTCCTCAATCTCCAGCTCCAATCTAAACTCCACAGCCACGACGATCACAAACACGACGATTCCGCACGAGACGCACCAGCTGGATCATCAATTGGTGGAGCCGGCGAGCAAAAGGCCTCGGATCTATCCCGCGGTTCTCGAGGACATTTTGTTCGCGTCGAGGAATCAAGCGCAGGTGGCAGCGGTGGATCACAAGAAGCATCCCTCGGACGAGATCGCGAGCGCGAACAAGCCGGACAAGCTCACCACGGATAACTTCTTGGGCAAGTTCTTGGAGAGCGCCGGCGGTGACAATCCAGTGGCGGCGAAGCTCCAGAAGATGGCCTTGGATTCGAATTCTCCCAGCTTGATCAAGCAGCAGCAGCAGCAGCAGCAGCTCATCACGGACAATTTGCTCGAGAAGTTCCTCTCCACCCCCTCCTCGAGAGACGCGATTCCGCGAAGAAATCCTCTGCTGGGCGGTGGTGCCAAGCCCGAGTTTAGCTTCCCATCGCTCCTCCCGGTCCCGAGCAGCAACAATTACAGCACCAATCCAGTGTTTTGGGTCTTCCAGCAGCAGCAGCAGCAGCAGGGAAATCACCTGAATTCCTCGTCGATTCCATCGGCAGGCATGGATTTCACGGGCGGATCGTCCGACTTGCAATCCTCCTTCTATGGCGACACGGATTCCGCGAGTCTAATGCGCAATTCGCTGGTCATGCTCAATCACCACCACCACCATCCTCTGGATCATCACCGAGGGGGGAATGGCTGGGAGAATCTTTGCAGCACTAGCAGCACGAGCAGCACATCGAGATCGTCTCATCCCCAGCAGCCGCTGTGGAATTACTCGCACAAGCTCGAGAGCTCGGATGGGTCGTGCGAGAGCCAATCACTGGGAGCAGTGTCGGAGCTCCTGCCAGTGTCGTGCGCGATGCAGGAGTTCTCTGACAGCCACGGCAGCGCGCACAAGGCGTCGCAGGGGATGATCTCATCGTCGTCGGCTGATCAAGGAGTGGTCTCCTGGGCGGCGCACACGGCGGCTGTGGATCTGGCGAGCTTTGGGCCGATGTCGCCAGAATTGCAGAGACTGGCGGCGGTGATCGATCAGATGTGAAGTGGGTTCTCGCGGGATTCGGGGAATTTCCGGCAGGATTGGAGGAATTGGAGCCGAGATCGACAGTGCTCTGTTTTCTCCCAAAACAGAGGAACTCACTGGAAAAAATAAGCGATGGTGGAGGAAGCGATACGTACAGAGGATTGGGGGGGCTTTTTTTTTTTTTTTCTTTCGAGGGTTGCTGCTGCGCGTTTCATCCGCTCCTCGAGGCGATCGATCGGGCGAGAAGAGATTTTGGAGCGAATGAAACGAGCAGCAAGGGGGCAATTCTTTCATTTCATGGTTTGCTGCTGGCTGGCTGGCTGGCTGGCGCGCGCGGCCGATCGATCTACAAGCGTGTACATTGGTTTGTGACAGAAGGGGAGGATCTACGATCGATCGCCATGGCCAGGCGGCAGCCAAGGAAAATAAATCCCTTTGGCACGGAGCAATCGCGAGCCAAGGGGGCGGCGGCGGCAGCGCGGCGCACAGACGATCGTGCCGCGCGGTATGCCGTGCAGTGTTGATACCGGCTGGGCGGCATGCCGCGCGGCAGATATGCTTACGTATACATATATATAGAGGTGTTGTTTTTTTTTTTCCTCTTTGTTTGTTCTTGCTGTGCCAGTACTGGCAGAGACGCCCATGTGTGTATCATATTGATTGATTTCTCGTGAAAGAAAGATCGAGTTAGCAGCGCAGTGGGGAAAGTTTTTATGGCAATCGCATGAATGGATCGATCTTTTTTTCCTCTGATTTTACGAATTGGGCCAGGCGTCGCTGTCCCGGTCTGAGGCATCTGATCAGAGAAAAAACTGGCTGGGGTGGGGTGCGCGGTCTCATCGATCGAAGCGATGGAATGGATCGATCGAGCTGATCTTGGCAGAGAGGAACTGAAGAATTTTGCTGGCTGGATCAGCTTCATGGGAAATTTTGGGCAGCAACAGTGAAACCAGGTGTGATGATCTCACACACAAGAGTTTGGTGGGGCGATGGGATCAGGGATTTTAATGATCGAGAAAATCATTGTCTGGGGGTTAGCTTGGAATTTTACTGTCGCGACTCGCGAGCGATAGATGGATCGATTTGTTTGTGCGAATTGGGCGAGCAAGAAAGAGGGGAAAAAGGAAGATTGAATTGATGATGACACGACGAATGAACACGTCCCATTCGAGGGTAAAGGAAAACTTGCTGGAAAACTTTTTTGTTCTCTGCGCCCGCGCAGCAGTGCGCGCTGCTTCTTTGCTTGCTGGGGTCTTGTGATTGATTGATCCTGTGGCAGCAGCAGCATCGGCAAATCCCTTTCCTCTCCTCTCCCATTTCTCTGACGCGCTGTTCTTTCTTTCTTTTCCTTTTTCCTCTGGAGGAGAGGAAGAAATGGGATGCATTTCTTCTCGGCCGGGGCAACTTGGCATACGGCTGTCAGATCCTCGCATGGACAATAAACAACAAGATGACAATCGCGCGAAAAGAAAAGGGGGTCGTTTTCGATCGGCCCTACTTCCATGAATTGGAAGGAAGGAGCGAGGAGGAAGGGGCTTTCTAGGGTTCATGGACCGCGTCCCGCGCGCGCGCACGTCTCTCTTTTTGAATTTGAATTTAAAACTCCACCTAGGTCTCCTGTGCTCGAGGGAACGCGCTGTGACGCTGCCAGGTTTGTGGAAACTTTAGTTTTTCTCTCTTTGTTTGCATTGCGTCAACCATGTTCTCGCGCGAGTTTTTCAATGTTTCTCGATTGATTGACAGTCGGGAGCTTTAGATTCTTGGATGAGTGTGCATGGCAACAACCAAGTACGTTTCGATTCGAGGTGTTCTCTTCTTTTTCTCGTCTCTCTTGTTTGATTGATTGATGCGCTCGATCTTTCTTCTAGCCTATATATCCTGTTTGTTCTTCTAGTAGGATGTGTGCCGCAAACTTTACGGACAAGGAAGAGGAACCGGGAATCTCTTATTTTGTAAGAGCTTGGTCTTCGCTCGCCAAAGGCAGGGATATACTTTGCGGAATATCATATGATACTTGGCTGCTAGGCCCAAGTTTGGAGCCATGTCTTCGTCTCGGAAAAGAGCTCCGATCGTATTTTGCGGTGAGCAGATCAAGTTGTTTTTGCTTTTTCGTGGCTTCGGGCGATCGGAAGTCACAGTGTCGTCGAGTAGCAGACAATGAGTCGGCCTCAAGAGGCTGTTAAACAGGCTTTTCGGTGGAGAGATTCTCCATCTCGCGACGAGGCAAGTTAAAGAGTCTTGCTTTGTCCGACCTTTTCACTTTTTATGTGTGTGAAGTCCGTGAATTTGATCGCATCCTCTAGTTCTTCGTGACAAACAGCTCGGATCTTGCCAGAAAGAGTAAAAACGAGAAAGAAATGGTCGACGCACTGGACGAGTCCCAAAATGAGGCGTTGGAGAGGCTGCAAAAGCTCTTGGGCGATCGCCAGATTCAAGGGGACGTCGATACCCTGGTGAGATTTCTCAAGGCAAGATCGTTTGATGTGTGGAAGGCAAAGGCCATGTACGAGGCCATGCTCCAATGGCGCGCAGAAGTTCGAGCAGACGCTATCAAACAGGTAAACTTTTACAAAAGCTTTCCCGAAGTTCTTACTCCTCCGAGTAACTTTGGAAAAAGGAGTTTGATTTCCAAGAGCGTGATGCAACGCAAGAGCTCTATCCGCGTTTCTATCACAAGGTGGACAAGTTGGGAAGGCCAATCTACATCGAAAGGCTGGGAAAGCTGCGCTTGGAAGAGCTCTTTAAAGTGACAAGTATGGAGAGAATGCTGCTGGATCACATCAAAGAGTGGGAGATTTTCGTGGATGTCAGGCTCCCTGCTGCGTCCCGTGACGCCGGCCGAGCGATCACTCAATCACTCGCGATTCTCGACCTCAAAGGAGTGGTAAAGTTCCTCTTTTTTTTTTTTGGCTCGTTTGCTGTAAAAGTTTCCATCTTTTTTCTTGCCTCGCTCCTCCAGGTGGTAAAGCACGTAAGCAAACAGGTCCGCCAGTTCGTGAGAGCCATCCTCCGGATCGACCAGGACTTTTACCCCGAGTTCCTGGGAAAGATGGTGATCGTCAACGCGCCGGTTTACTTCAAAGCGCTCTGGAGCATCGTCAAACCGTGGCTCGACAACCAAACCCAGAAGAAGATCGAAGTTCACGGAACCAACTACGTTCCCAGGCTGCTGGAGCTCGTCGACGCGGAGAGCTTGCCATCGTTTCTAGGCGGCTCCTGCGAGTGTGTCAGCTCTAGAGGATGCGAGAGCTCGAACGCTGGGCCTTGGCTTGGAAATGTCTGATATTTACTTGGTTCTAGATCACGGAGTTCTTGGTGCTCGTAACTTATCATGGTTATTCGCGCCCTGTTTAAAACCAAACGTGGTTCGTCCACGCAGAACATAGAAGAAAAAATAGTACCTTGAATTTGTCAGCTGTGTTGCTGTTTACGTCCGTCCGAGAGGAGGCTGGAGCTCGTTGATGTATGCTTCGGCTACGGCTGCTTGGAACGCTACTCCCCAGGGGAGCATGTCTTCGTCCATGCGGAAGAGACCGGAGTGGACGAAATGAGTAGTTCCTTTTGCCTCGCTGTGAATCCCCAGGCCAGTAAACATGCCTGGAATGCGTTCCAAGTAGAACGAGAAGTCTTCGGCAGCCATCACCGGCTTGATGTTGCGTACGCAGTGGCTTCCAAAGAGTGACGTTGCGACCCAGGATGCGTGGTCGTGCAATTTATCGTCGTTGATCGTCGCTGGATACATCGGGCGGTCTGCATCGAAGACTACGCGAGCGGTGCATTTGTGAACAGCTGCCTGGCTCTCGATGATCTAAAACGCAAGTTTCAGAGCTTGTTTGTATGTAGAAAAGCTTCTCACAAACCTGCTGGATTCTCTCTTTAAGCTTAGCCATGCCTTCTTTGGAGAAGGAGCGGAACGAGCCTTTGAGAGTCACAGAATCTGGAATGACATTGAAGGTATGCCCACCACTTATGCTAGTCACAGAAACAACCTTCGCAAATGTAAAGAAAAAAGAAAAAAGAAAAGAAAAGGAAAAAAAAAACAAACAAACAACACTCGAATAAGCGTTGAGATGCTCACCTGATTACCAAGAGGATCCATTTCTCGAGAGACGAGCGGCTGCAAGCTGATCACCGCAAACGAGGCCGCAACGATGGGATCGGCAGTGTGATCTGGACAACCGGCATGACCACCTCGGCCCTTGATCTCGGCCTCGAAGGCGCGAGATCCGGCTAAGCACGGTCCTCTCCGGAGCGCGATGATTCCCGTCGGAGCTTCCGGTGCTACGTGCAAGCCAAAGATGGCCTCGGCGTCTCCAAGAGCTCCATCCTGGACCATAACTTGAGCGCCAGCTTTGCCTTCTTCAGCTGGCTGGAAGAGAAGAAGCACCGTTCCCTGCGCAAGCGAAACTTTCAAGCACAAAGGAAAAGACTCGATCGAGGAGAGCTTACTTTGAGAAGATGGCGCCTTCGCGAGAGAATCCTAGCAGCGCCAAGGAGCATGGCTAGGTGAGCATCGTGTCCACAAGCGTGCATTTTCCCATCCACTTGGCTCTTGTGCTCCCACTCCACCATCTCCTACTCAAAGAGCCAATGCTTAAAAAATCTGGTTCTTCCTTTCAGTACCTGGATCGGAAGACCGTCCATGTCCGCCCTGAGCGCCACAATCGGCCGATCGCCGCTCCCAATGGTCGCCACCACTCCTGTCTTGGCCACTGGCCACCGGTAGGGAATCCCCATTCCATCCAGCTCCCTGCGAATGAGGGCGCTCGTCTGGTGCTCCTCAAATCCCAGCTCCGGGTTGCGGTGAATGCAGCGCCGGACCGATCTTACCCACTCCACCGTGCCTGGATCGTTGGCGGCCTCCAAGATCTCTGCAGCCCAAGCCTCCATAGCTCTAGCTAGAAATTTACTCTAGAACTAAGAACCCTACATTTTTAGAGTGGAAATTAGGGTCTTTGGAGGGAATGGAGTCGCGATCTGGCCCGCAGAAGCTCAAAGAGGGATCCGGCGTGATGCGCATTGCGGATTCTATGTGTTATCCACAGTACACTGCTAGTCTTAAGTGTAAGTGCTGTGATCAACGATTCAAGCTAAGTCATGACGATTCTTCCAGGCCTGGAGAGGAATTCCGATAAGAATCGATGCAAGGACGTGATCAAGGTCTATAAATCGTGCAAGAAGATAGAGGTAAGACATATTCTTTCTAGATTTCATCGATCTCCACTCGATCAACATTATAAACTTTGGGTGCTCTTGGCAGAGAGAACAACGCCTGGAGCGTAATAGACAAAAGGGATGGTTCGACTGATACGTTCCTTCTAGATTTCCCATGAAGCTAGAAGTTTCGCAAGGCTTGTGGGCATCCAACACCTTTGCGCACGATGTCCGAGTGGCGCTTGTTCTGGACAAGCCTGCGACAATCTGGACTGGAGCTGCCGATGGCAAGATTTTTCTGTGGAGCTTTGATTCACGCTCATCCTCAAAGGTCTGGAACTTCGCATCCAAATTTTCCTCTCATGACTTTTCGGCTCTTGGCAGGATGAGTGTGGGGAGCACTTTGTTCCAGAGGTGAGGATCTTCATCTCTTTCTTTTCTCGTTTTTGTTTTTGGTGCATGAACTAAGGATATCTTCGCAGGATGTGCTACCACTGGCGCTACTTTGCGGGCATACTGCTGCTATAGTTGGCTTGCAGGCATGCGACCGGAGCCAGAGCCAGAGTCAAGGTGGAGTTCTTAGCGTATGTAGCGAGCGGGGAATGTGCGTATGGGATAGTGATACTGGGAAATGTTTAAGGAGGCGACGGTTGCCTCCATCGATTGCGCAGCCTACATCAGTTTCTCGTGTTCCTGGTGAGACGAAACACATCTGCGTTGGTTACCATTCTAGCAGCTCCGGGCAGGCAAAAGGTGGCGTCCTTGTTGTCGACACGAGCACGCTCAGAGTCACGCAGAACATCTACCATGGGCTCCTTGGACTGAGGGAAATCAACGACTTAGTGGTGGTAGCACAGCAGGACGAGTTTAAGGCTACTGTTGCGGATTTAAAAGGCAACTTTCAAGTATGGTCCAAGAACAAGTCTGGCCAGGAAGGTGCAGAGGGAGATCTTCATGTAGAAGCAGCTGAAGCAGTCTCACTGTCCAATGACGGAAAACTTTTGCTCTTGGTTTCTCCACTGGGATGGATGCTCAGATCACTCGAAAACTTGTCGATCTATCGGGAAGACGGTACGTGTTTGGTCGGTGGATACTTTCTGAGGGACGTCGAGAAACATCAATTTCTAGTTTGGGATGGACAGGGATCAGCCACCGTTTACTCCGTGGAGGGAAGCAATTCTGTCGCTCGCGTTAGTGTCGTGCCAGGTCTCAAAGGAAGTGCAGGCTGCAAGATCACCTTCTGCTCTATCGGTGACATCATAGTTCGTATTGATTATAATCGGGAGGCCAGTGTAGCAGTGTGGACTTCCAGTTGGAAAGGTGCTGCTACAGGAAGAGCAAGCTTTGGTAGCTCTGGTCGGCTTTGGAAAGGTTTGGAAACTGCTAACAGCATTACCATCACGTCTTCGCTACTTGTTCCCAGTTATGGGACTCTAGTTCCATCGATCTTCGTGTGTGGATACGCCAACGGGGACTTTGATCTTATAAAGCTGGAGCCTGGGAGGAAAGAAGTACACGCGAGTGAGAACGGCCCATCGATCCAGTGCCTTGCTGTTCATCAGTCCGAGTTGAGGCAAGTGTTACTTTCTGGAAGTATGGACGGCTCGGTGTGCTTATGGGATATAGAAGCAGGGAATAGGAGCTTGATAGCAGTTCTTCATCCACACGTTGCTCCTGTAAGGCAGTTTGTTTTACCTTCACCAGAGTCCTCGCCACCTTGGGATGAGTGCTTCGTCTCCGTGGCCGATGATTCGACCGTGGCATTGTCGTCACTTACGAGCTTGAGAACCGAGAGGATATTTCCGGGGCATGCTGGTGTGATACAACAAGTTGTGTGGGACGAGTTCAGAGCTTATCTTGCAGTCCTGTGCACTGCCGGCGATGGTCAGCTGGTTTTGTACATATGGGACATCCATTCCGGTGCTCGTGAGCGTATTCTTCGTGGAGCAGCTGCTCAGTCGATGCTGAAGCACTTTGCAAGTCGGAAGAGGCGTACCACCGAGCTGCATGGGGACTTCACTTCGGCTTCTTCGCTGCTTCTACCTCTTGACGATGTACATAGTCCGATGGCTTCGCAAGAAATGACAAGCAGCCAGGTGCAAGGTAGTATGGATCCACACTGCAAGCAACATGCTATCAGAGCAGGATGCCCGTTTCCCGGTATAGCGGCCATCCACTTCGACATGACGTCGCTTTTAAGCACTGTTGACGAGAAGCTCTTGAAGCTGAGCCTTTCAGTTCTTCACTTTTGGGGAATTGATGAGGAGCTTGACAAATCTGTGGCAGACGAGCTGCAAGTATTCCAACCGAGGCACCATCGCGTTGCTGCAGGTATAGCTGGGAACAGAGGGAGCGTTACACTAATACTTCCAACGAAAGAAGCAGCTTCTAAGGTTGGCATTACGTTGCTCATCGCCATACTAACTTTATTTCCGCAGTTTTGGAGCCGCTCGTCGGTTTTGTTCTCAATGCGAGCTTTGACGATGGTGTCGCTCGCTCAGCGCTTGCTCACGTTTTCAGCTCCCGGCTCTATGATTTGCAGGTAATAACTTTCTTCTTGTGGTTGAACTTCTGATACGAGTGTTTGGTCAGTGCACTAGCTGCTTTCTACACGGCTGGAGCTGTTGAGAAACTTGGTGATGCTTGTCTGGAGGTAAGTTGTCCATGTGATCTTCTAAACTGAGTTTCACGTGCAGATATTTGCATGTTTCTGGCAAGATCCTGCTGAGCATGTCCGACTGGCTGCCCGTCTCTTATTCCATTCTGCAGCATCCACAGCGGTGCCAGACATTTTACAGAATGATAACGGCTCCTCGTTCGATGATCTTCTCGAGTGGCTAGAATCGTCAGGAGGACAGGAAACATGGCTTGGCCTCACAGGTGGCTCGGACCAGGATGGTAGAGCTTGCAGAATCATCATGTGTGGAGCATTGGCAATCTGGCACAAGTCCTTGGTGCGGCATGACTTGTCGAGCTCCACCGCTCCCTTACTGCTCAAGCTAGTGCGAACAAGTGATAGGCACAGCGCTACAGCAGCGGAGGTTTTGTGTGCTGGGATGGCGAGCACTTGGCAGCCACTTATACAGTCAGAGGAAGTGTCCCAGCTCACCTCGGACGTGCTCTTTCTCATCCAATGCATTGGCGGTGACGGGGATCATGGTGGTCACATTGCTACTACGGAACACCACCGAGCGCTCTTGTCAGCTCTTGCGCTCGCGGACATGCCCGCTTTCTTGATTGCTCTGGAAAGAGTAGCATCGACGAAATCTTCTTCGAGCGTTTTACTGGGACTCACGTCGCTAGTTCAAGTTATACGTACGTCTCCGTCGACTGTCATTGCGTGTCTTGGACGGGTCAGTTTTTCTTTATCTTTATCTTTTTTTTTTGCTATAGCTCGTGACTATTCTGTGCTAGCAGATTGTTTCGCTGGCTGTTCGTCTATTGGATCCTGCGGATTCGCTGCAAAGACGGCACAACTTTCCTATTATCATGGAAGTGATCAAGGAGATGTCTCAAGCGTTTCCTATGGTTGCTCTTTACCATCCGGTTGCTCAATCAGCAGCTGGCAAACTTGCAGTTGGTGATCCAGTGGGTGACATCCGGTCGCTTAGGATTCATGTATATGACCTTTACAGGTAATGTTTTTCTTTTCTAGCATGTTTTTTAAATGTTTTTTCTTTCTTTTGTCAGTGCGAGTATAATGAAGGTTCTTGATGCCAGTGGACCTCCCGGACATCCAGCATTGTCTCCCAGTGCTAGAAGCTCCACTCGGACGCTAGGAATTACCGCTCTGAGCTTCTCGAATGATGGCGAGGTATTTTAGCTTGAGCTGGATAAAAAACTCTAATCGCTCGTTTGCATGCTCCAGGGTCTTGTAGCTTTCTCACATCAAGGATTGATACTTCGATGGTGGTCGGTTGGCGCTGCTTGGTGGGACAAACTGAGCCGCTCCACCGTGCCCGTCCAGTGCACAAAGCTAGTTCTCTTACCACCCTCGCCAGGATTCTCCCCAAAATCATCCAGCACTAGCATTATCGGAAATTTGAGTGGATCGAAGAATGTCGAGGAAGTGGTAATCTTCGCGCCTTGTTGCTTTTGTCAATCTTATCTTGTGCTTTGCAGGAGGAAGAAAGCGAAAGCGAGGAGACGATTGATTTGTCCTTTCGCTTGCATTGGAAGTCGGACCGAATTGTAATTCTCAGCCGCGGCAACCACCAAGTCGGGGTGTTTCAGCTGTGACCGTCTTTTACAGCCACAAATATCTTTTATTCACGTTAAAGTCTAGACAGCAAATAAGGTACTCTTGCGTTTCTAAACAAAGGTCTCTCTAAACCTTTCGTGTCGTGGTAGAACATATCAACACGCGCCACAAGCTCCAAAATCAGAATGGAACTATCGTGGCCCCAAGGTGGAAATCTGGGGGGATTCATTGGAAGCTCCCGAGGAGATCCTGGTGGAGTCATTGGATCGCATGGCTGTGTAGGAGAGTGAAGATGATCGGCTCAAGTTCTCTGGAACGTGAGCGTTTGAGTACCCCGCCAGCATCGCGACGACGTGAGGCATTGACGGCCGCGCCTGAGGCAAGTCTTGAGTACACATGAGCGCCAGTGTCACCAGCTGCAGCGCCTGGCTGTTGGAAACTTCGTTCTCCAGTTTCGGGTCCACAAAGTCGCCAAATACCCCTCCTGCGTCAGCGTGAATCTGCCATGCCTGGAAAACAATTCCGCGAGCCTTACAAATCTAAATACAAACACTAATTTTTTCAAGTACCTCGTCCACCAGTGATCTGTCTCGGTTTCTTTTGCCACTCACGGTTTCCAGAATGACGATTCCATAGCTGTAAACATCGATCTTGTCGCTCAGCTGACCATTGAGTGCGTACTCTGGCGCCATGTAGCCACTGCAAGATCATCGAAAGCATGTTGTAAAACATCAAGTACTATGGAACTTACTATGTTCCTGCAGCTTTGGTGGTTAGAACCTCCAGCTGATGGGACGATTCGAACAGCCTTGCCAATCCAAAGTCGGCTATCTTGGCCTCGTAGAACTCATCCAGAAGAATGTTGCTCGGTTTGATGTCCCTGTGTACTATTCGTATTTGTGAGTCTTCGTGGAGATATGCTAAACCACGAGCAGTTCCCAAGAGAATGTTATGGCGAGTTTCCCAGGACAGGGGCTTCTCTACAGGACCTGAGACACAATACAATCTGTAGAAGTATGAAGAGATCAAACGTACCGAACAAAGCGTTTTCCAAACTGTTGTTCTTGAGGAGCTCATAGACGAGAAGCCTTTCTGTGCCTTCCGTAGAACATCCAAGCAGCCTTACCAAGTTCCGATGCTGCACGTTGCTGATTGCCTTGACTTCGTTCAGAAACTGAAGCTCACCGTGCTTGGAGGTGACGGTGAGCTTTTTGATCGCCACTTCGGATCCATCTGGAAGATATCCCTGTTCAGGAAGAGATCCATGAGTTTCCACTGCTGCAAAAACAATAAAACTTAACCTTGTAAACAGCACCAAAGCCACCTTCACCGAGCTTGTGGCTTTCGTCGAAGTTTGCAGTGGACGATTTCAGCATCCGATATGGGAACGTAACTGGCCCGCGATGCAAGGTACTCTGTACGTCATTGGCTATCGCAGAAATGAAAATTCGTAAGTGCTTCCAAACAAGCTGGCTTTAAATGAATTTACCAAATTTACCATTTTTTCGCCACCTCCAATTCATACCAAGAGCTATACCAGCAACTAGAAGCACTGCGGCGATTACTCCCACGATTATGCCTACATTTCTTGCTTTGTTGCTACCTTCAGAAAGACAACAAGGTTTAAAAATATAACAAACAATAAGAATGAAGAACAATCACCTCCGCCAGAAGTGAAAACCGCGGTACTGCTGCTTGCGTTGACGGGAACTCCACCAAAAAACTTGAAACTCTCGTACTGCATATTGCATTCAGCCAGGTAGCAACTTCCTCCATCTCTGCCATTGCAAGTACTGGACAATGAGCTTCTGGCTTTCTCCAAGCAGGTCGCGCAGTCAGAAGTGCTCAGATCACGAACACATTGTCCCAGAACGTACGCGCTGTTGTCGGGAGAAGTTCCAGCAACAGCTATCATGAAGCCACCAGCACTACCTGGAATACGGTCTCTCAGAAACGCAAAACCGGTGTCTGTGTTCGAAAGGTACTGGCTGGAGTTACTGATGCCGGACGAGCAGTTCACCAGAGCCGAGTCGATTCCCGAGTAATTCGAAAAGAAGTAGTGATCTTCGTAGCGTAGAAAACACGTCTCTTCCTGCACCCGTCCCCCCTTTGTAGAATTTCTGACGCAGGATCCATTGAGAGACTTGATGGCCGTCGAAGCGCAGGCATTGCAGTCGCTGGAGGAAATGTCTCCACGGCATTGTAGGAGGCCAAACACTGTGTCAACTGTAGAGCCATTCTTGTTGCTGTTTATGATCACCGTCTTGTAATCCGTGGTGTTTGCCAGAGAACCAAAAGCCTGGATGATATTCCTGCGATACTGCTGGCTAGTAAACGTGTAGAGATCTGAACATCGTGTGGAATTCTTTGATGTCAGCAGCTGGCCGCTAGCAATTCTGTACGTTGGAATAAAGAGGAGGATGCACAGCTTCACAATAACCAAGAGCCTAGCCATTGCATTGCTCGAGCTCCGCTTCTCATTTCATTGCCGTGTCAAAAGACTTAACTTGACCGCATGCTTCTACTGATGGGTCCACCAATGCTGAAGAAGTCCACAGAACATAGTTGGCTCATGTCATTATGCAATCTGGATTGTAGTGGCAAGAATCATGAACCAAGAATTATAAAGATCATAACGGTGTCGTTTTCAGATAAAGTCAGTCTTCAGGAACTCGCTCGACAAAATAGCTTTTGCCTTGAAAACGAAGTGGTTCGTTTCCCCACGAGGTCCAGTTTGCGTTCATTTCCCTCGCGAACAGCTCCAAAGCTCTCACCGGTTTCGGTGCAAAATCTGCAAGAAGTACTGTTCTTTTCGTTAAGTTTCGAAAGGAGACAGAGGAAGGATACCGCCAAGCGGGGGCTTCCGCGAATGCTGGCCTGGTACAGTAATAGCGACGCGTCTGTGAGGAACATCGTTGTGGTCCTACATAAAATACAGAACTTTAAGCAAACGAAAAAACGCAATCTTGCCTGCATGAGAGTACCGGCCACCAGTAAACATTCGTATGGCTTATGATGGTTTAAATCCAGTTCGCTAACCATTGCTCCCGCGTCAGTTATCTGCAGCTTTCCAAAGTTAGAAACCAAAGTTCCAAAGAAAATGCCACGACCTTGAGCCAGTACCACACGCCGACAGGAATTAGTTTCCATGCAGGAAAAAGCTCCTTCTCTACAAACTGGTGAAGCTTTTCTCGGTTTGTTATCCATAAGCCTATCAGAGCACCGCTGCTGTGTACCAATTGTTGCAGGGGAAGAGACATGAGATACTTATTTGGTAGAGTTGGATAACTAAAAAGGAAAAGAACGAAGTTAGTGAAAGCGAGAATGAAAACGGAAAGTTACATTGATCTTCGGTGGACGCTCTTGTTCTCCCAGGGAGGATCAATAATGATAAGATTATAACCTGTTGATGGTGAGTCTGACACGAACCTACAAGTTTGTGAAAAACATACATCTAAACAGACTTTCTTGCCTGGAATTAGCCGGTGAATTTCAGAGAAGTCGGTCTGCAAAACAGTACGTAATTAACAAAAAATTTCAAATGCAGAACTTACCATGAGAAACCGACTGTTTTTCGGAAGAAGGAAGTCTGAGCCAGCGCTTGAAGCGACTTCCTCCGCGGAGGAGCTAGCTTCCACTAGATTGTTAAAGAGCGGGACACATTTTCCTGGACTCGAAAGTTTGGGAAGTTGTTAGAAGGAAGCAAGAAAAACATTAGCTCGAATATGTTCCCACCTTGTGAGGAAAGCGTGATATCATAGAGTGGAGCTTGAAATGTCTGAGACAAAGCTATAAAATCACTGTTGTCCTCCACTTTTGCATTGCTTGTTTTGAGTTTTACCATCTCTTTCAGCTTTGCTTGCGCGGGTTCATTGGACATAAATGCCTTGTGAGACTCTAGCAGAATCTCTCTTGCCTCCTGATGAAAAACACAGACAATCGATCAAATCCAAAGAACAAACACCAGGGGAAGAAATTACGAGAAACGAACAGAAAAAGAGTATCGGAGTGAGAAAAAGAAAACTAGCACCTGGTGGCGCTGCTGAGCTAGAACCTCCTTCGGATTAAGAACAGCTTTCTTCTTCTTCCTCTTTCTCTTCTCGCCAATGCACTGCTCACGCTCGTGATTTCTCACATCCCGTGCGTAATACGTGCTGGATTCGAGGGCAAAATCGACATACCCAGAGCTGAGGAGGGCTGGCGGATCGATGAAGACGGCATCCACTGGCGCGCCTGGAATGCGAAAAACTCCCTCGTCATCCATAAGCCCTAAATGTTTTACTTTTAAAATAATGTTCTGTATTAAAGTTTTAGCTATAGGTTAAATCAAATCTCTTACTTAAGAAGGTTTTTAAAGAGAGTGAGTGAATATACTTAAAATATGCTTGGTATTCTAGAATTTTCTATTATTTAATGGTTGTTATTCATTTAGATTAATTTTGTATTTATAATTTATAAACTCTTTCTAGTATATTCTAGTTTATTCTACCATCTAATGGTTGATATTCAATATAATTAATCTTGTGTTTATAAAATATAAACATGTTTATAACTATAAATTTCCATAATAACACTACTATTAAGTAAGCCAAGTGTTATTTCATGTAATGCATAGCAAATTATTATTTTTTTAAAAACAATATCAATAATTTATATAAAATATTTGAGAAATATATTAAGAATATAAGTGTTCAAGAACCATTTAGTTTTCATATTTGGTTCAAGTGCTCCACAATCTAATCCCACTATAGACACCTTAATTTGGTCCATCCATTTTTGTAAATAAGAAAGGGTTTAAATCCCAATTACATACTTATTCCGATAATAAATGCTATTTATAGGGTTAGTATGTCCTTAAGTTAAGAATATGATTTATTTACTTCTCCAAATGGTTAAAGATGTGGTTAAATGGCTAAAGTATAATGAAAAATTTAATTACTTATATAAAGGCTAGTATAAATAAAGAAGGCTAAACCGGGTGATAATATAACCACTGAAAAATCCAAAGTTAAAGTAAACATAGATGGGCAAATAGGGTGACTTGATTAAGTGTTTAAAAGTCAACTATAACTCCCTTAGGAAATCAAATGGATATAGATGGACAAATATGATAACTTCTTAAAGTGTTCAAAAGCTAACTTTAGCTTTTTTGGGAAATTGAATAATTAATGTTTTCAATCCAAGTGTGAGTGGCATTACTTACTTGGATACTTTGTATGGCTTATCGAAACCTTATGGTTGAGACACTTTAGAGGCAGAAGGAAAAAAGAATACCTACAAGGCTCAAGTTGAGTTATAGTGTTTTAAAATGTCATTTTAAATAGAAAGGTAGAGGAATCTTACTCTTGCTTAGTGGTCAAAAGTATGGACATGTGGTGAAGAAGTCCTAAAGGTCAATAAAATTTAATAATTAGGCCTTTGAGACATGATTCAATTGCAATGTTTGTAGATATTGTTATAGACAAAAAAAGACTTAGTAAGGACCGAAGGAAGGATATTGGGGGATAGTGTTCCTTATATCTTAAGGCATCCTAAAGATATTAAAGTGTGGTAATGAGATAACCACTTTTAGATAGATGGTTTGATTTTGAAGAGATGGGACTATGGTGCAAATGGTTTTAGGTTACTAATGAAATAAAGATGAATGGACATAGCCTTAGCTAAACAAATTAAGATATCAATAATACTTTTATGTGTTTAAAGTGGGATCAAACACATAAATGGAAGTTATGAATAAGACCCTCCAAGTGGTCAAGGGTGTGGTTAAATGATTAAAGTAAAATGGAAAACTTAGTCACTAATAATGGTCTATATACTATAATATGATAATGAATATATTATCTAGGTAAGGTAATATATACATGTATTTAGAAACTTTACACCATCCTCCCTCTAAAAAAAATAATGTAAAAGCTTTTGTGTATATATAAGGAATAGAACCAAAAAAACTTCTAAAAGCCTAAATTTATTATTACCCAAAGAGATTTATATAACTTCATCTCATATTTTAAACTTAATTTTTAGTTATTTATTTATTAAATACTGAACAAAGAGATAGAATTAAATTCCCAAGTGTGTAGTCAAAGAACAACCCCAAAATATCCAAATCCCAACATCAAAACCATTATGTAAAATAGAGCCAGAATCTAGTATTATTTCAATATACTAATCACTTAACATGAGAATATAGGTATTCCAACACAAACTAAATGTAGAACAAATAATAATTTATTGTCTGTTGCATGCAGCAACGCTTAGTTTTCTTAATAGTAGTGTTATTCCTATTTATTAATATAAATGGTCAAATGGAAATTTATAATTATAAACATTTTTATAGTTTATAAACACAAGATTAATCTTATTGGATATCAACCATTAGATGGCCAAATAAACTAGAATATACTAGGAAGTTTTTAAGAAAGTTTATAAATTATAAATATAAGATAAATTTAAATGAATAACAACCAAGATAGATGGTAGAATATCCTAAAATATCCTAGCATATTTTAAGTATATCCCCTATAGGAAACACCTTGGAAAAGCAGTACATTTCAGAACAAATATGATAGAACAAGTCAACATAGCATAATTGGCATTAGTCTAATTTATAAGGCAATCAGCCATCCTATCCCAATTATACATTTGGGAATGCCCCCTACAAAGATAGTATCATGCTAGCAATGCTGTTAATATGAAGCCACTGCCACAATACACATAATTTCTTGAGCATTATCCAGCTTCTATGACTCTACAAGAATACCCCAAGCTGCTCACGTTTGACCCATCCCAAAGTATACAATTTACCAGTAGTTGTAAACATTAGAGCTCTAGCCTGAATTGAAAGAATAAAGCTCTCCATAAACCATCAACAACAGGAAAGTGCTCATATCTAGGAATGTTGTACCTGCTGTAAATTTTATGTTCAATCTCCCATTTATAAATGCTGTAATATTTTATGGCAGATTATTATTTTTTCTTACTAAATAAAAAGAAACGATTGAGAGGATCCAAACTGATCATGAGTCCCCAAAAAAAATTCCTTTTTCTCCACACTTATAAAAACAGGTTATGATAGCATGACAGTGTGGTACCTGTATTAAGACCAAGCCCAATAGAAACTTGGCATCTTCATATGCAAGAAATGGTACATAAAGCATTTAATTGATTACTAAATTCTTTTCCTAGTGCTGCCTTATAGAAGCTTAGAATAAAACCAATAAAAATAAGGTTTTTAAAACTATTCAACATTCATCACGCAATTATTTATATATTTGGGCCATATATAAATATTAGGTCGTAAAGATTATTTTAATTAATCTAATATTTATTAAATGTATTGTTTCGATAAGATTATGATAGAAAAAATAAAGAATTTTAGAAATATATTTTTCTTACAAGAATCTAATTTTGTTCATCTAAATCAATTGGTCAAGTAAATATAATAAAGACATATTAATATATATATATACAGATAGGTTAAATAAATCCTTCAGTCCATACTTATCACTTTTTTTCTTTTTTATGTTTTATTTAATTTTTTTAGCATAAAATTTACTACTATCCCAATTAAACATGCAACTATTGGAAGAATTAGAATTTTAAATCCACATGATATTGATAATATTATAGAAGCTGTGACAAATGTATTATCTAAACTAAAATATTAAAAACCTTACCTGAGAACATTACTTCTAAAGGATTCATTGATATCATTATTAAAACAAAGTATCAATGTAGTATTACTGAAACTGTTAATGGTGAAAGTTGAAAATTAGGTTTGAAAATCTTTTATATGGTAGTATTAGTTCTTTAAAAGAAAACTTATCTGACTTCTTTGAAAGGGAAACTATTAATTATTTTATACAATATAAACTCAGAGGCAGTCCTGGACTTTTATTGCAAAAAGAATTATATTATAACTTCTATTTTAATAATGAGTTTTACTGCAATCTTAAAACTAGTAGTTTGATTTTTGGTTTTAAGTTATTTATTGATAACTTTTGATATCTCCAAATGGTAAAAATCTATTGCTATTGGATTCTACTTGTAGCCTTGTATTATATTCAGGAAATACTTTAATTTGGAAAACTAAAAGTCCTTATGAAAAGGTTTCCCAAAATTGCTTTCTAGTCTTATAACTTGACCATAATCTGGTTTTATATGATAAAAAAGAATCCATGTGGCATAAAGATAATTATTGTGAATTACCAACATTATTTACTATTACTGTAATTTACTAATATATTTTGCACATTTTCCTAATAACGTTTTATGAAACAATGATCAAACTATTTACATATTTATGATCAAAGCCATGGTCACATATTTGTGCTGCTCAAACTATCACAACTAGTGTTTTCCAGTGATAGAGTTGACGCCTACATAACTTCAGAGTGTAAATGTAAGTTGTTATGGTCTTCAGACAAAGCGTATAATATATAAAGTCGAACTTGGAACGGTTGGTAGGCACGATTGATCATGTCAAACCTCGAGACTGCCAAGAATTTGCTAGAAAATAAAAATTAAAAGCTGCACTGTGTTCTCCATATGGTATCCACATGCTATATAGCTTGGTTTCTTTCTCTAGGGCTTAAAGCAACAATGGGTTTCGGTGTGCACGTCCTTGACGCTGTGGAGCAGCACACGCACACGGTCATCCTTCTCCACGGCCGCGGCAGCAACGCGGAGGAGTTTGTGGAAGACCTCCAAGGTATGACCACGTCCAGCGGGCAATCGCTGTTTGCCCACTTCCCAGGCGTTCGCTGGGTGTTCCCAAGCGCGCAAACTCTCTGGTCCAGCCAGTTCTTGGAGGCGATGAGCACCTGGTTTGATGCGCCGTCGCTGACGGACATGAGCAAGAACAAGCACCTCCAGGTCCCCGGATTGAAGAGCTCGGTGGAGTTCGTGCGTGGGGTGATCCAAGACGAGGTCGCGCGTCTCGGTGGTGACGCCGCCAAGGTGGTGCTGGGCGGTATCAGCCAGGGACAAGCCACGGCGCTGCACGTCCTGCTGGGCGGAAGCCACAAGCTCGGAGGATTCGTGGGTGCTAGCGGATGGCTTCCTTTCGCGGACGAAGTGGAAGGACTCGGCTCTCTCGCCGAGCTCTCTTCCCATTTTCGTGGAAAGCTTGGCTTGGAATTGGACGAAGAGATTCAAGGTGGCGGGGTTGAGGAGACGCCGGTTTTCCTGGGACATGGCACCGACGATGAGATGGTGGACGTGAAGTTTGGGAGGCAAGCGCGTGACGTGCTCAAGGCTGCGAAGGTGAAGAACTTGACGTGGAAGGAGTACGTGGGTGCCGAGCTTGACGGGCACTGGTTCAAGGAGCCGGAAGAAATGGACGACATTGTGGCGTTCCTCAAGGACTGCTTTGTTGATTCCTTGGGTAGTGATCTCAAACAAGTGAAGCTATAGTTCCATTTGAGTGGTGATCCGATCAGGTAAAGCTATATTTCCATGATCCAAACAAGCGACGGTATAGTTCTCAAAATAAGTGAAGCTATAATTCCATTTTCCTTGTGACCTCTTCCAGATTTGAATTTTAGGGCTTGGCTATGGCCGTGTGGAGCTGGGGGGCGGGAACGCAGGGCCAGCTTGGATTGGGGACGATGATCGACGCACTGCTGCCACAAGCCATGGATCCGCCACTTCGAATTCTGGACATGGCTTGTGGAGGCGCCCATGCCGCAGCGATTTTGGGTATGGTGTTCGCGAGATTTTGTTTGACTCTGGATTGATCTCACTTGTATGGAGATGGAGGACGTGTGGCGACGTGGGGGCGAGGATTGATTGGTCACGAGGGCGATTCCGAGAAGGATGCTGCCGCTGTTGTTGCTGTTCCAAGTGTAGTAGAATTTTTTGGAGGTCACAGAGTTTGTGAAGTAGCTGCTGGATGGAACCACACCGCATTTGTCACTGGTACGATAGATCAATTCTCTTCTTCTTTCTTTGTGACTTTTCTTCTTCTTTTCTTTTCCCTCCAAGAATCCGGGGAGCTTTTCACCTGTGGAGATGGAGCTTTTGGACAACTCGGCCATGGAGACTTTGTAAGTCGAGGAACTCCCTGTAAAGTTCTGGCTCTTTCCAATGCTTTCAAAGTTGCCTGTGGAATGCGCCACACACTGGTTCTCTCCGGTAAAATTTTTCTTCTTGCTTGGTTGCGTGCTTTGCATCCAAGTCGTGAGTGAATCTATATATCTGTTTCTTTCTCTTTTATCTTCTAACAATGAGGGATGCAGGAGAAGGTGATGGTCGAGTTGTCAAAGCTTTTGGACTAGCCAAGCGTGGTCAGCTCGGCAGCCTTTCGTCCAAAGAGCTTAACAAAGTGGCTTCTCCCCAAGCAATTCCATCGCTCGACTCCTACAGTGTTTCGATTGTGGCAGCAAATGGAGACCACAGTGCAGCTTTGAGTGGTGAGTCCTCAAAGAAAATTTGTTTCTCCAGGAAGTATTTTCCATCTTTTGGCAGGCAGTGGCCAGCTTTATCTCTGGGGAAAAGCATTTGATGATCAATCGGGTGCTTACGTACCGTTCCTCGCAAGTGAAGAGCTTAAGTTCCACCGAGTTTCTCTCGGCTGGAACCATGGCCTTGGTCTTACAGGTACCACACTCTGGTACCATTTTAACCCGTTTTTGTAAGCAGTGTCCTGCAGAGGACGGGGAAGCTATTTCTTGGGGGACTAATCGGCATGGTCAACTCGGATCCTCTAGATGGTTCGTTTTTCCTTTATTTCTTTGTTCGTTTCAAAACAAGAATATAATCAGTGACAAATGTTGCAGCATAAGCGAAAGGTCGAACATCAAGTTTTATAGAGTACAAGGGTTGGAAAAACACAGAGTAGTTTCCATATCTGCTGGATCCGAGCACTCTGCCGCTGTTGATGGTTTGTGGAGAGCTTTGATCTTTTTGTTGATGCTAAAGGTCTAATGTTTTCAGCTGCTGGTGACCTGTATACGTGGGGATGGGGCGAACACGGGCAGCTTGGGCTTGGCCATGTAAACGACGAGAGGCATCCTTGTAGAGTAGTAGTTGGACAATGCCAAAGAAGTCGTGTATGTTGTGGCAGTGGCTTCACGTTTGCATTTTGCAATTGACCTGTAGGACATTGTTATAACTTCGGTATGCTCGAATACAATTCCCACAGAATATATAAACATTTGCTTATTTAAAATTTAAATTTTTATTACTTGCTGTAATTTAGTAAAGTTTAACCATATACTTTTAACTTTCCATTTTAATCTCATGGAATATACTTGCAGAAGTTATATGAAACCCTTCCCCACCACAATTTAGTTTGCTTGATACGGGCAAAACATTGCAAGGCTCCAACTGTTGTTTGCAAGCTCCTCAGAAAGATTTGAAATACGTGATACTCTGTCGTGAAAGTACAGCATCTAGAGTACCCCAAACTCTCGTTCTATTACATGCCAGAGTGTAGCATAGTGTCGCAGGCAGTAGTGCGATCCAAGATACCAGATTCCCTTCTGGATTGCAAGAAACAAAGCTTTAGCGAGTTCTATGTGGCCCAAGCTAGAATATGATGTTAGGATTAAATTGTAGCATATACGCAAACTGGGCATCATGCGGATGAAAGCAAGCATTTCCAGTCTAGATTTCAGTCCTGGTTTCAATCACAAGTCCAAGCCAATGACCCCTGTTGTAAGCCTAGACTCCAGTTGTAACTTTTCACTGCAGCATCGTGAAATGCTACAAATGATGGATCGGCCAAGCTTAGCATTGGAGATGCGATTCTGATATTCGTATCGACGTCAGCAAATGTACAAAACTCATAGAAACAAAACTCTGGTAACTGCACGCACAGTTCAGACCAGTAAAAGTGCAGGATCTTCGTTCCTGATGACATCCTCTGGAAGAAATATTACCCGTAAACATATTGAAAAGGAGACGTAAACAAACTTACCAGGAGAGGCATCAAATACGAAACTGAACAACTGCTTGTAAGGAACCGATCGCTTCTGCACCACAACTGCCAGTTTCAAAGCCGAAGCAGAGTGTGCTGCAAAATTCCCGCTCTCTTGATCAGTATTCGGCCCATAGCGAGTCAGAGCCAGGACATTTCGGCGACAACCCCCGAGCTTCCAGAAAGTGTTTGTAGCTCGGAACTTTCCAGATGCTCGACTCCGTGAGGTTCCACAGTTTCCCAAGGTACTGGGCTTGGAAGTCTGGAAATTTTTGCAAGCTACGAACCTTGTTCCTGACAAATTCGTGCAGAACACGAATCAGCAGCTCGTCCGACAAGAGATACTTGAGTCGCTGGTTCTCAGAGGCGAGCCTGTTTAGCTTCTCCTCAGTGTCCTTGATCCTTTGAGAAAGCTGAGCTATCACATCTGGCGCTTCCTCCTGGGGCGCTTCCTCATGAGGTGCTGCCTCCTGGGACTGGACAACTTTGGCTGTGTAAAAACAGCCTTAGTACTACCGAAGGGGAAGAAAACGAAAGAAGATAGGACAGTCACACCTTCGAGCACAAGAGATGTCGCGGATTTCCATAAAGATGGCGAAAGATTGGGCAACGCTCTCTGCAAATAATGTGGTCAAGAATGAAATGCTGAAAAGAGAAGCTATTACCTTCAGATCTTTCAGGACAGGCCAGAACGATCTCCTTCATCTGCTTCCAGTATTCAGAAGTTTGCTTGTCTAGAACAATTGTCGCCATTTCTGATAATAAAATTAAAAAACAGAAATACGAAGAAAGTAAAGGTGTACTCACCAGAAACAAGAAGGTTTTCTTCGTTTTCCGTCACCGGCTGGGGCCGTTTAATGGTTGGTGCTTCTGAATAAACTTCTGTAAGGGAAGGAAAGAAACGTAGACCCTTACCTGGAGCTACAACTGCCATAAACGTTTCACTAGCAGTTCCAAGGTCATCTGAGCCATCGTTCTGTTCGTTAAAAGGACAACATGCAGGACGTCAAATACCTGAAATCTCTTGAGCTTTTCCGGATTCCTCTTGATCCTTTCCAATGGATTTTTTTAGCTTCTTACGAACTTTTCCAGTGGACAGCTCCTCTTGAGTTTTTCCAGTGGATTCTTTGACCTTCTCAGCCTGGGATAAACAAAATCAAAACGCTAGTAAACAAAAATTCAAAAGAAACTACCAGATGAAGTCGATAGAGTCGAGCTTCTTTCAAGAGTGTGCCTTCCGTAAGGTCCCTCGTCCTTTCATCCGGCAGGAATATAATCAGCCCGCCGTTCTTCCAGTGATTACCACGGTCAGTCTTTGGCACGCAAACGCAGGAAAAAGTCCACTCATCCTCAGATGCTATGCCAATTCGGTCCATTAGAAAACGCTTAGCTTCGGGGGGAGTTCTTATTAGGCTCCATGCTTCTTTGATCCACTTGTTGATGTATGTCTGAGTGGAGAGTTCGCAAAATCCAGCGCCAAACTTGATCCTCTCCTCCCTGTGAGAAACGAACAAACGTGGAACACACCTGAGAAGGATCATCTTCCAGCTCGATCTGTACTGCCTCATCTTTGGATTCCATTTGCAGTTCAAGAATTCTCACTTTCTCCAGGAGTGGAAGTTTGCCCCAGAGCTTGGCATCTTCCACGTTCTCCTGTCCAGGTTTTGGAAAGAACAAAACCGTGCACAAATTCAAGCCAAGAGAAGAAAAGAACAGACCATACCTCCGATTTTGCACCACTCCGATGCAGATACATTGGCATATGGTGTAGGGTAAAAGGAGAAATCTCCAGCCTCACCATGGATCTCAGCTTGGATTCTCGCCCTGGCCAGTGGAATCAAGGCCTCAACGCTAGCTCCTTTCGGGATGCGTCTCGTGATTGTTATACAGTAAGCCACCGTCACATTTGCCATCGTCCTGCCACCAAAGAAGAAAAGAAGAGAGATCGAGATCGCTTGATCTTGGCGCCCAGACGCTAGCTAGGCTGGCCGCGCAGGAAGCACGGTAAGCCTTTTGGTTTGTGCTCGTTTCGCGACGCGTCGTTTCTCGTGTTCCAGATTGACACTGGAAGCCAAATTAGCTTCGCTTCAAGAGCGAGTTAGTCTTGAAAAGGAGCGTGCACAACTTATTGAGGTTGCACGAGCTCTGTTGTCTAACAGCGAGGAATCACGCGAATGGAACGAAGTCCTGGACACGATTCTGAAAACGCCTGAGTGCAGCAAGGTTCTCGGGCTGAGCACGGATGCTTTGGAGCTCTTGCGACTTTAAGTTGTAGACTTGACGAATCTATCTATTGCCTACAGTGTATACCAATGTAATCAGTTCTCCTGGAGACTTTGTAAGTTGAGGAACTCCCTGTAAAGTTCTGGCCATTTCCAATGCTTTCAAAGTTGCCTGTGGAATGCACCAAACACTGGTTCTCTTTGCTAAAAGTTTTCTTCTTGCTTGCTTGCGTGCTTTGCATCCAAGTTATTGATTTCTCTATTCTCTTCTAACAATGAGGATATAGGAAAAAGGTGATGGCCGACTTGTCAAAGCTTTTGGACTAGCCAAGCGCGGCTCAACAAAGTGGCTTCTCCACAAGCAATTCCATCTCTCGACTCCTATGGTGTTTTGATAAATGGAGACCACAACGCAGCTTTGAACTTGTTCCCTCCAGGAAATCAATTCCATCTTCTGGGGGGAACAGATAAAATGCAAGCGAAGAGCTTAACTTCCGCCAAATTTCTCTCAGCTGGAACCATGGTCTCGATCTTACAGGTACCACACACTCTAAACCGTTTTTGTAAGCAGTATCCTGCAGAGAATGGGCAAGACCTCGTGTATGTTGGAGGTTTGCATTTTGCATTTGAATTTTGTTATATCATTGAAACTATAAATACACTTTTCCTTTTTAATTGTAATTAATATTTCATAAAAAATTTTATGAAATAAATATAACTTTAGTTAATAATAAAATTCCTTTTTTAAAAAAAATATTAATGTTAAAAAGGAAAGAAACAATTAGTTTTTTATTTTGTAAATTTTATATTCCTTTTTTTATTTAGTTTTTATTTGAGTTCTTTGAGCCAAAGAAGTATACACAATTGATAAAATTGTTATATTAAAAACTACGATGGTTATGAATAATAGCAAAAACTTCAATTAGTTTTTCTTTGTTGAAATCATTTTTAGCTGCTATATTTTATGAAAAAAATTAGTTATAATATATAACCATATGAATTTATCTTATAAAGTTATTTTTGCATATACTACTACCATAATATCAAAATTTATATTAACTATAGTTTTATTTAGCAATCAAATCCTTGTAAAATTTAATTTTACTATATATAATAATCATAAAAAATAATACAATTGTGAGTACATGGAATATGGTAATAAAATACAGAAAATATGTATATCAATTAGCCTAAAAACTCTAACTTATATACATGAGCGAGTGGATTAAATTGAAACTAATCCAACAACTACAAAAATCCCACTATACTAATATTGGTATACGACATTATACTTGTACACTTGGACCTCACATCATCCCTTCCTTTCGGAATGATGGAAAACTTCAAGGTTCTCTTATGGATAGGTAGGATCTGGAGGAACATTAGGAGGAGGCATTAGTGGATCTATAGGTGTTATTCTTAATCCTTTTATATGAAGTATTTTAGCTGCTGTACATGCATAATTTTAGGAGGATAAGCCTATTGAACGTCATGCTAAACTTCATAAATTTGTGGTCCAACTTGCTATAACACTTGATATAGTCTTTTCCATTAAGTAAGGAGCTTTTTAGATAAACCATATACCGTACCATAGGGAAAACAGACTAACACCAAATCATCCATTTTATACTCCACAAATGAGTAATGATGGGAGTGTTATTGTTGTCCCACTTATACATGGCCCAAGTGTTCGGCAGACTTTATTTAGTCAAGTGGAAGAATGCTTGTCAAATATTAATCCCACGACCTAGCATTGGTAGTTTACACCGATCACGAAGGTAAACCCAACTTTGTTAGCAATATTAGATCATAACCATATAAGAGTTTATATGGTGAAACACCAATAGAACTCTGGATCCCTATGATGTGCACATACCAAGAAACGACAAATAACTATCTTAATTCGAATGCTGAAAGTTCACATATTTCGTGATCATCCTTTTGAAAGTCCGAATAAGTTGTTCCACCAAACTATCTGACTAACTTGTGAAAGTGTGGCATATCCCTAATTATAAGTAACCAAAGAGAATGACTTTAGAGATGATCCATGGGGTTTAAATATAAAAAGAAAGGGCCCATAAATAACAGTGCACCTCTTTTTTCAATCGGTTAAAGGTCTCGAGATGCTTAAGGTTAAGTGTCCTTGGGTTTGAATAGTATTGGGCTAGGTGATCTAACATACCTTATCTCTCTCCCCTTAAGCCAACTAAAAAAAGGGCAATTGTTTAATGAGAGAGCCCTTAGTGATTATTTTATCCCCATTTATCCCCCAAGGTTCCAAAGATCCATGGTGATAGTATATCCAAATCTCATCCCATGATCACATGTGCTACACTCACCCCCCTTTTAGAAATGTCAATGTCCTCATTGACTATCCCATGATCATATGCGCTACACTCACCCCCCCTTCAAAAATGTCAATGTCCTTATTGACTATTAACTAACAACCCCTATTGAGCTAAAGGGAACGAACACCTCCATTTTCGCATTGAATCCACCAATCCTTCTATTGTGTAGGCCAGTTATTCTATATGAGGCAATTAGTCATCCACCCGTACCGTAGTCCCACAGTGGATACTTTCATCCGTGATACTCCACATAAGAGGAAGGATGTACACATGGATGCCCAATACATACGATTTCAAATTTAGGGGTAGGAATATACTTTGCTCAAGGGTATATTATATTTTTAAGTAGCCACTAATCAATAGGAATTGAACTCATGCCATTTGCTCCGATACCACATGTACCACACTCTATCTCTCTCCCCTTAAGCTAACTGGAAAAGGGGCAATTGCTTAATGAGAGAGCCCTTAATGGCTATTTTATCCCTATTTATCCCCTAAGGTTCCAAGGATCTATGGTGATAGTATATCCAAATTTCATCCCATGATCACATGCGCTACAGATAACCTCTTGGGAAGTCTAAATTCAAGAGCTTACACCAACCAAGACATCAAAGCGTGAAATGCCTCAACCATAAATGCAAGAGCATTATCTGAAAAAATTTACTCCGGACAAGAATGCTAAAATACCACTCGATTAAAGAGGAAGTATTCAATAGTAGTTGTAGGCACCCTAGCAAGAGCACCGACTTCCAACCAATGAATTAAATAATCAGAAGCAATAATGTTAATATACTCATTGCCAATAGTCGATCTTGGAAATGGTCCCATTAAATCAAATGCCGCCAACTCAAATGAACAGAAAATTGCAATTAACTTCAACTATCGTTCTGCAGCATAAGGGGGAATATTACAAGTTTGGCACTAAATGCAACTATGCACATATTGGATAATATCATGTTGCATCTTCGGCTACTAGAAAGATTTGCATAGCTTCTCGTTCATATGATGATGTCCCATATACCCTCTAAAATAGGAGAATCATGGTAAACATGGAGAAAGCATAGAATAAAAATTGAAGGCACCACTAGCCATAAATGATCATCAGGATTTGTCCCCATAAAATAAAGAAGACCATCCTCAAGGCGATATTGGAAATGTAAATGCTGAAATAGCAAGTCATCAGTTAGTGATGCAAAATTCTCAAATCTATCTTGAAGCCTTCGAATCCACAGCTCAATTTTTTTAGCCTCGTGAACTTTGACAAAAGAAGGTAAATCTTGTTCTACACTTTGTGGACACTGTACATCAAGTACAACAACTACCAACGGCATAGAATCCTTATGTAAAAAATTTACAGATGTTAGAACAATAGACTCATTGAAAACATGAAAAGAGATGAAAAAGGAAGAGGAGCTCGAGAAAGGGCATTAGCATCAACTATAGAGCCCCTTAGGCAATAAATAATAACAAAATCATATATCTGAAGCTTCAAAGCCCACTAAACAGTATGGCCAACCAAGTTCTTCCGCTTCAATAATAAAATAATTGCAATATAATCACCTTTTAGTAACATCCAATAACCATTTAAATATGCATGAAGTTTTTCAAAACCCCAAACTACTGTTAAACACTCCTTCTCTGTTGTAGAGTAGTTTACTTTTGCTAGATGTAATATATAGTTGATATATGCAATAAGATGGTGCTGACTAAACACACTTGGGCTCTCTTGCATTAACACACCTCCAAAATCGATATTAGAAGCATCCATATGAAAAATGAAAAGTTGATTGTAGTTAGGACACGTCAAAACCAAAGGAGTCATCAATACCTTTTTGAGATTCACAAACATCAGCTCACAGTCTGCAAACCAAATGAAAGATGATATTGACAACTTCAGTAACACTTGCAACGGTGTAGTGTGATAAAAAAAATGATCAACAAAATGACTAAGATACTGCATCTTGCATAAGAAGCACTGCATATCATTCACACATTTTGGAGTAAGGAACTTTAAAATAGCCACAAGTTTGTCATGATCAACTTACAAACCCTCACGAGAAATAAAGTACCTAAGATAAGTCATGTCCTTAGACCCATATATACATTTTGACCACTTTAGTTTTAAACCAACTTTCTATAGCCATTCCAACACCTTACAAATATCATAAACGTGTTCCTTTTACGTCCCTTCGAGTGGATCAATACATCATCAATGAAGTAAACAATCACCTCTAACATATCACAAAGAACCTCATCCATCATTTGTTAGAGCAAGTTCAAATAAGATAGCATCACCAAGAACTTGTACAAACCAAATGGTGTACAAAAAGCAATCTTAGAAATATCTTTTTCAGCCATCGGTATTTGTCAATACCCAAAAGCAAAATCTAACTTGGTGAATTAACAACTTCTCCCCATATGATCCAAGAGATCAACAGTGTGAGGAAGAGGGTACATATTTAAAATCAATCATCTTATTTAATGGATGATAGTCGATGCAGAAACGACTACTTTCATCACAAGATGAGATTCATACGCCCAAGGATTTTGTGACTTTCAAATAACACTCTTTTCCAACATCTCCTTGACATTTGTATATAAAATCTTGATCTCTTTAGGTGACCAATGACAAACCGGAACCTTGAGTGGACAAGCATCCTCAGTTGGAATAGGATGACTTGTGGCAATCTTGGCATTAGATGATAGGTTAAATTCAAAAAGATCGACATACTCCTTCATGACCTGGTCAACTGCTATAATACAAAGACTATTGGAGGGATCGGAAAATAGAAAAAAGGAATAAGATGGAAACATAGGAGGAAGTAATAGGGAGGCAAAAGTGATGGAAACAAAAGTAGAAATAGACAAAGAGGTACAAAAGTGAGAAGAATATAAAAAATATAAAGAAGTATAAGATAAAAAGGAGAAGCCTTAAAGTTACACTTAGCATTATTGCACTACAACTAATCCATACCAAGGATGAGGTCAAAAGCTTGACTTGACACCACCTACAATATCTACAACTCAAGCTCGAGATTGCCCATATGCACAATTAGGTTTGCCTCATCCCATGCATATGTGTGTGTATGATTGTTTCCATAAAAAATGAAAAATAACTTTATTGCATGATGCAAATGTAGATGGCAACGTATGGTAATAGGTCGAACAACAGAAGATAAACTTGAATATGTATCAACGAACATAAAGAGAATAATAGAAGACTTCTTGTTATAAAAACAAGCTTAGAAAGTAAATGCTGGATGAACTGGTGCCAAGTGAACTCCTTAATGATACTTCTAAAAGAAAGTGTAAGCGACTAATTTTTCCAATCTACTTTAGTCACTTAACCACACCTCCGACCACTTGGAGGAGTCTCACTCACAACCTCCATAAGTCTTATTTTGGACTTGGGCTTGCTAGCCCCCTATGGGCAACTCATCACCCAACACTAGGTACAGCCTTCCTGGGCCAAACTGGCCTTTCCTGGCCAAACTGGCTCCACTGCAGTCCTCCCCCTTACTATACTTTTGGAGCTCACCAAACCCCCCAGGGTCTGGGAGACGAACGCTTTTGGCTTTCACCCTCTCAGACTCGGACTTGGACTTGGACTCGAACTTGGACTTGGACTTGGGCTCGGCCTTGGCCTCGGTCTCGGTCTCAGTCCCGATCTCGGTCTCGGTCTCGGTCTCGGTCTCGGTCTCAGTCTCAGTCTCGGTCCTGGTCTCGGTCTTGACCTCGAACTCCATCTCGGTCCATCTCGGACTCCATCTCGGACTCCGTCTCAGTCCATCTCAGTCCATCTCGGACTCCATCTTGGACTCCGTCTTGGTCCATCTCGGACTCCATCTTGGACTCCGTCTTGGTCCATCTCGGACTCCATCTCAGACTCCATCTCAAACTCCATCTCGGATTCATCTCGGACTCCATCTCGGACTCTATCTCGGTCCATCTTGGACCCGTGTTACGAACACGGCTGGGATCCCAGCCGTGTTCACCGTGTTTCACGAACACGGCCATGGGTCGTGTTCCCACGGCCGTGTTCGTGAACAGTGGTCCGTGTTAGTAACACGGACCACTGTTCAGAATATTCTCGCGCGGAATATTCTGGTTTTAGGGCGCACGGCATCACACGACAATCCAGCCAGGGCACACCATTTCAGGGCACAGCAGCAGCAATCCAAGGCAAACAAGCATGGCGCAGCAATCCAGCATACTGCAAAAGCATCCTTCTTCGCGATGGTGGGATGAGGTAAGTGTTCTTGAGAGCAGGGGGCATGGCCACAAATTATGGTCATGCAAATACTGCCCAATGGTGAACAAACTGAGTGGTGTTGATCGTGTGCGAGCTCATCTGTTAGGAGAAGGCCCAGGCAGCAAGGATATTGTGAGTTGTCCTCTCATCCCAGGTAACAAGAAAGCAGATCTGCTCAATATGCAAAAGGTTATTGATTCCGAGAAAGGGGCAAGGGGGAAGAAACGGCCGAATGAATCTGGTGGTGCTTCTATGAGAATGGATGGCAATGTCCAAGGATTTCCACCGGTGGTATCATCCCAGTCAAGTGGAAGTGGCTGCAGTTCCCTGTTTTTTAGCAAATAGAGTCAAGTCCATATTATTGATTCGATGGATCCTGAGCGGAAGAACCGAGTTGATGTGGCTATCGGAAGATTTTTTTGGAATGAACACATTCCATTTGTCAAGGCTCAGTCACCTTACTTCCTCAACATGATACAGGAAGTTGCCAGGCATGGTATGCCTTATGCACCACCAAAATATGATGATCTCCGGGATGAGCTTTTGGTGAAAGAGAAACGATTCATTGATATTGAGATGGCGTCCTTGAGGAAGCAGTGGGAGCAGAGGGGTGCAACCATATGCGCAGACGGGTGGGCAGATAGGAGGAATCGGCATATCATGGGGCTTGTGGCATATAGTCAAGGACGAGGAGCTTTTTTGAAGGCTATCGACATTTCCTTAACAGGAAAAACAGCTGAAAATACTCTGCGCTGCTGGGAAGAAGGCATTAACATTGTAGGTGTAGAGAACGTTGTCATGGTTGTGACCGATGGGGAAAATGCAAACAGAGCAGCAGCAGCACTTTTGCAACAGAGGTACCCGAAAATTCAATGGGCAGCATGTTTTGCCCATTGCTTGAACAATGCCTTGAAAGACTTCGGTGTACTTCCATGGATGGCAACACTTCTGGAGCGTGGAAAGTCTTTGGTGATCTTCGTTAGAAACCACTCTCATATAGTGGCACTGCTGGCGGAGTTTACTCACAAGTGATTGCTGCGTTATTGTGATACCAGGTTCAGCTACAACTTCATTATGATGGAGAGGCTGGTGGAGCTCCGAGAAGCTTTACAATAGATGTTCGTATGCCCTGCGTACAGAGCAAGGCCTGAGTCGAAGTCGAGAGCAGGAAGGGACAGTTATGCAACGGTTTTTGATGACAGTTTCTGGCAACAGGTTAAGGACATGCTAGAGGTGTCCAAGGATGTTATGCTGCTTCTTCGTGTTGTGGACGGTGATATACCTGCGATTGGAAAGATATATGAGTGCATGAACAGGTTGGATGCAAGTTTAGAGGAAGGACAGTCGGATTATGGCAGGTACAGGGAACTTCATCAGATCATGTCTAATAGGTGGCATGAGTATCACTCGCTCATGCACTCGGTGGCGTACATGTTGGACCCCGAGTTTCAGGAGTATGAAAAGCATGCTAACAGAGAGGTCATGAAGGACTGGAATGCTTATCTGCTGGCCATGTTTACATCCAGTGAGAGGGATGTGATATGTGATGAGCTTTTAACTTACTGGAGGATAGGAGGCATTTTCAACTCATATGATGCTAAGGCTGATCGCACTAAGAGGGGAGCTGTACGTTGGTGGGAGGACTATGGTTATGAAACTCCAGCTCTTTAGAAGTTGGCCATTCGAGTTCTAAGTCAGGCATGCTCGTCGTCCTCGGTGGAGAGATTGTTCAGTACTTTCGAGCATGTTTCTTCAAAAAAGAGGAACAGACTTACCATGGACAGAACAGCGGATCTGGTTTTTGTGGCTTGCAACACCAGGTTGTTAACCTGCAAAAATGATCGTGATTACGACAAGTTTGTAAGCTACAAAGTCCTGGAGACAGTTCCTCATCCTGAAGACGAGCTTGAGTCAGGACAGGAAGAGGAAGATGGAGATGATGTCGAAGATTGTGAGGTCGAAGATCATGAGGTTGAAGATGACGATGAGATGCAGGATATTTGAGTAGTTTAAAAGTGTGAAGTAGTTTATGTGCAAATAAAAATATTAAGAATAATATAATAAAATATAGCATATTCCTATAATAATATAATAAGAAATAGAATATAATTTTTAAATAACATATTCTTAGAATATTCAGTAGAATATTCGTGAGCCATCGTGGGCCGTGATTGTGTTCCGTGTTCGGGTTCCTGAAATCTGAGGCTCGTGTTCATGTTCCGTGTTCGTGTTCGTAACTATGTCTTGGACTCCATCTCAGACTCCATCTCGGTCCATCTCAGACTCCATCTCGGACACTTCCACATGTCATATTTTGGTCCTTTTGGGTCCCTTTTTAAAGCCTCGCTTATTGCTCGTTTCATGCTCATTCCTCGAGCATTTTGTTGGGAGTTCCACTCCCGCTCTCGACCTTTCAAGGCAGAGCTTTTAGTCCAAACATGTTACACTCGTTTGGCTTTTGCTTCGGCCACTACTACGTGGCGCCCTTCTGGCTCCACTTTGGGGCTTAGGGATTTTGTGTCTCACAACTCCACCACCCATAGACGAAGTTTGATGTCCTCATTGAATGGTAAAGTTTTATAAAGTAACACCCGCATGTATTACCATTTCTATCCTTGGCACCCAACTAATATTTGTCTATGGTTTGACACCAAAGGCTCACCATGCCTTGTTTATCCTCTAAGGAGCATAGTCTCTTCAACATAGAGTGTAGCGCATATGATCATGGGATGAGATTTGGATATACTGTCACCGTGGATCTTTGGAACCTTGGGGGATAAAATAGCCACTAAGGGCTCTCTCATCAAGCAAGTGCCCCTTTTCCAGTTGGCTTAAGGGGAGAGAGATAAAGTGCACTACAGTTGGTATCAGAGCAAATGGCATGGGTTCGATTCCCATTGATTAGTGGCTACTTAAAAAAGTATAATATACCCTTGAGCAAAGTATATTCCTACCCTTAAATTTGAAATCATATGTATTGGGCATCCATGCGTACGTCCTTCCTCTTGTGTGAAGTATCCACGGACGAAGGTATTCACCATGGGATTGCGGTACGGGTGGATGACTAGTTGCCTCACATGGAATAACTAATCTACACAATGGAAGGATTGGTAGATTGAGTGCGAAAATGGAGGTGCTGGTTCCCCTTGGCTCAGTAGGGGTTGTTAGTCAATAGTCAATGAGGACATGGACATCTCTGAAGGGGGGGTGAGTGTAGCGTATGTGATCATGGGATGAGATTTGGATATACTGTCACCGTGGATCCTTGGAACCTTGGGGGATAAAATAGCCATTAAGGGCTCTCTCATCAAGCAATTGCCCCTTTTCCAGTTGGCTTAAGGGGAGAGAGATAAGGTGCGCTACATAAAGACTCACTCGACCATCTGGGGTGGTCTGTTCCCTTTTATTAGTTCAGTTCTCGCTAAACTTGTTAGAGACACCCTATCTAACACAATTCCACTACTCATTCTCGAGTTGTCTCAAATTCCATCAACCTAACCTTTGCACTTTGGAACTTTTAATTTTGACTTCTCAGAGTCAATTTCCTAGGTGTCTCCGACACCCTACGTTGCACATGGTGCAACTCCACTTCCCCATCCTAGGAAGTTCTTTACTTGAGGGCACCATCATCCTCTTTTTGATATTGTGCCACCTTTAGCACTAAGTTCCAGTTATTATAATTTGTGCTAGGGTTGCCCACGGCCCTATTATTTGGCTAGCTTACCGCTCCCCCCTTTGGAGCATCCACTTTTGCCAAATCGGAGTGGTTGGGAATCCATCCTTGGGGAAACATTGCCTTTCCCACAATCCGTTAACACCTAATACATTAGTGTTCTCGCCTAACTTTGCCATTTGGATTCTTTCCTATGATTCCCATGGCTCTTTTCTTAACCACTAGTCTTTTTCTCTTATCCTTGATTGTTGTACCCAGCAACATAGAATCGCTACCTCCATTTTTTAGGTTTCCTTTCGGTTCCATAGCAACACTTTGCTTTGCCAAGTCCAGAGGGTGTTCACCCCTAGTACGTCTGTTTAACATTTTCTGCTGTGAGCTCTATCCACGACCCAACGTTTAAGACCCCCCCCCCTTGGATCTCTTATAGAGACTACTTTCCTCGGACTTACTATGCCATCGCATTGACATAGCTCATTTCCCTTGGGTGTTCTTCCCACTTGGTCACCTTGACCAAGCCACACCATCATCAATAGTTCTAATCAACACTTTTGAAGGAACTTTATCCCTTAAACTCACAAAGACCTTGTCCTTGTTTTAGCCATAAGACCACCTAGTGATCTAACCTTGGCACCTTAACAGGTTTGCCAATAGGTATTAGGTCTTCCAGACCTTTAAGTTGTTGACCATGACCCCAGGGGCATCCCCCACACTTGATGGTGCACCCAAGCCAACCTTTCCGGCTAAGGGTCCATAGCAATTGAGACTGGGTGTCCCCATCTCATTCACCACGTCCTTGGTGCCATTCGCACCAAAGTGTTTAAGTTAGATATGCCAAGCCACATTAAGCAATCTAACCATGCATCACGACTCCGAGGCATCCCTCGTTTGGCGGTGTGCCCAAACCAGTCTCCTCACTGAGAGTCCATGACCACCGAAAAATGAGTGTCCTTATATTCCAAACCATCACCACGCCCTAGTAATTTGGGACTCGAACCCAAGCACTAGAGGGTCGGGACTCAAACCCAACCTCCATATATGCATCTACGGATGGCATCACATAGGATGCTTGGCATGACTCCCCACGCCAGTGCACCATCATGTACTTAAAGCATGTTATAGATCACAGCTTAGGAACCTAGTTCCTCCACACTGCCAAGTCCTTTCACTTGACAAGTCTGTGATCATGCAAGGACTCCTCCATGCTCGGCCCCATGGGCCACCCTTTTTGAAGTTAACACCTTTAACTAGGGGATTTGTTCCCCTGATTTGCCAATCTCACTTACCAAGTCATCTGGCCACCGTAACATGGTTCATGCATAAGTGTGAAAGTCCTTAATCATTGACTTTCATTCAAAGCTCTCTCTTTGAACATTTGGGAACTACTTCCCCAACCTTGATAGCCTCGCCTCATGGCCAGCTTCAAGACCACACTTTTGCTGCGCCACTCTGATTTTGCACACTCTAGGAACCATTTACACTTGGCTTTCTAGGTACTTATCTACCTAGAATTGTCTTTGAGAACCTTCAAGGAACTCTGTTCCTTAACTTGCTAAGGCTTCTCCTTCACAAGCTCCTTACTCCCCATATGGTCTAATATGGATAATTCCACATTTTAGACTCTCCATGGCATCGTGGTTGCTAGTAGTAACATCCTTGAGCACCCTTTTGATTCTCCACTCCCAACTTACATAACTACCGTTGGTTATGCCCTTCGATTTCTATGGTTCAGTTCCATCCTAATACTACTTGCCTTTTGGCCTCATATGTTTCCTTTGGTTATTTTCCTCCAAACTAGGAGGATAACTTTGCACCTTCTACCATGCCTTAGCAAGTATTCATAGGGATGAACCTATCTAATAGGTTAGGGAGTGGTTTCTCAATCTGGGCATGCTCACCTTATAATACCACACACCGGGATTAACATTGCTACTTATGGGCCTTTATATGCCCATTACTAGTCTTGCCAAAATCCCATTTTTGGCTTTGTCCAAATCGGGTAGATGGATTTCTCCCGTCTCTAAAACCTTGGACGTTTGGATAACACTTCCTATCTATCATTCGCTAGGGACTTAGTCCCTTGGGCCTTATCTAATGCCCTTGTGACTCCAAACACCACCTCTTGGGGTTCTAGAGAGTTTAGGTGTCCCAATGATAGCATCCTTGACAATGAGCATTTCCTTTTATGACATTGACTTACTATATCGCAACATAAACAACTTATCCCCGATAAAGGTATATTTAACTTCTTTATGCCATTAAGAAGTCTTGGGTAGTTACCTTCTACTCGTTTAACCAATTACCTACACTTCATGTTTAGTTGCCTCATAGTTGTTAAGTCCTACAACTCATTGCTTGGTGCTTCCACACCTCCATCATTATCTAGGTCACCACACTCCAACCACATGCCTTCCAGCATAAGCTATGCCATTCCCATGTCCATTGGGATTCTCTTGGTAAGGGGTTCTCATGAACCCATCAACATAACCTCAAGGCATCACACATTAGCCCATTTGGTGTCTCCATACTATCGGCTCCATGCGTCTGCTTTTATGACACTTTGCACTTGTGTCTAAGTCTTTGCCAAGACCAACCCAATCATTTCTCATGCCAACTATCCGTTAGCACTACACCATAGTGTTCGCACACAACTCTGCACCAAAGTTGCTTTTTCTAGGTACACATTTCCCAAGACTTTAGCAGGGCACATTCTGCCATCGATGAGATACCCTCTGTTCTCATCCTTGGATCCTATGATCCCCCCCCATCATTCGTGAGGTACAACACACCTCAGTCCAAATGCTTTCATCAATCCTTCAAGATTATTCCTTGACTCTATTTGAGTCCTTTAGCTTTTTGGACTTTGTCATTTGACGACCCATGAGGTCCCACCTTTGAGATGCCAACTCACTGGAATACAAATTCTTGTATTCAAGTCCTACTCACAAGGACCAGTCCTACTCACAGGGACCAATCCTACTCACAAGGGCCATCTTTACAAGTGTTACTCCGACACTTGATTTGTTCTCTTAGGGCAACCTTTTGCCACTTAGGACCATTTGTCCATGTGATGAGAATACCAACTCATCCTCTAAGTACACCCCCAACTCCTTGGGTTGTTCCAGCATTTATTAGAGGTAGCCCTGGCTACCATTTCAAGGACTTGTGTCCTCTTTCGTATTTGACCTTCCACGGTCATTAATTCCGGTCTCAAATTCATAAGCACCAGCCTCAACTATATGAGGGTAATTTTGTAACTCCATTATTGTCTTGGAGTTTGCATCTTTCCCGTGATCCCAACTATAGTTGTTTTCCACAACTACATTAGCCC